TCACTGGGGAAAACTGGTGAAAGAAGAAGGTTAGCGTTATTCAGACGAATAGAATTTCTAAATTTCTCATCTGGCTAACGTAAAATTTTATAATAATTTAAGAGAGAAGTATCTGTGGATAATTTTTGCACATTTGTCGCATGTGCAATACTTATGTTTCATTTCGTCATAAATAAATATAATAAAATAAATAAACATAAATATAAAAAGTGTCATTTAATAAGAAAATACTATTAAAAACAAGACTGCAATAAAATAAAAATATGAGAAACACGCATTCCATTATTTGGCAAATATATTTATGATTTTGAAATCAGTTAATTTTTTTTATTAATATTATTAATATTATAATTAATATTAATAATTAATACAAAACATATATATTTATTAATATTATTTATTAACATATATATTTATTACTATTAATATTTTAATTGGTTTTTTACCAGCAATTAATTAATTGGATGAAAAAAATTTTTTTGCTGAGCGGTCGATTTCAAAAAATATTCTCGATTTATTTTTGTAAATTTATTTTTCATTTCTGACCACATTTTAGCCAAGCTTTCTTAAACTTTTAATTTTTTTTTACCAAACAACGATTGAAATAAAATAAATTAAAATTAAATCGATTAAATTAAATAAATTATAAATCAAATCAATTAAATTGTATAAATTGTATAAATATATATAATTTAAATATATATATTTAAGATTTATGTCATTGGCAGGAGTGAACCTGTCATTTGGAGTGAACCTGTCATTATACACAGAAAAGAGTTGTGCAAAACAGTTTTTGAAACATTGAAGTTGGTAAAATTTATATATATATAAATATATATATATATTTATGTCCTTGGCAGGAGTGAACCTGTCATTATATACAGAAAAGAGATATAATTAAAATAATGAGGTTAATGAATCAATAAAAGAATATAAAGATTTGTTGAATTTACGATTTTGAAAAATAATTTACGATGCAAAAAATACAAAAATGGCTTTTGTGGTGACAAAATATCGGCCAATTTTCTTATAAGTTATTATTTAAATAGCGAAAAAATGCTATTTGGAAATGACTGAAAAGATAAAAATAAAATTAGCTAAATTCGGCTTCAATTTTGGCCAAAATCATCGAATTTTTCCGTTATATCATTCCTTATTAATAATAAATAAAATTTTTGGTTTGTTAAAATTGCTGCAAATCGCTGAGATAATTTATTGCTCGAATAATATTTCTAAGACAAAGAAAGTAATAAAAAAAAACCGTTAAATTACGCCAATGCGGCCAAATAAATTACGAAGGATTCTTTTGCGCAATTTAATATTATTTAACATTAAAAATTAAAAAAATCAATTAAAAATATAAAAATTCGAGAAAATCACTTATAATTACATAAATGAAGAAAAGCAGAAAAAGATTTTGACAAAACAAAAATAAAAAATAAAAAGTAAAGATAATAGTAAAAGTTAAAAATAAAATAAAGTAATAAAAGTAAAGTATAATCAAAAAATCTAAAATTTTTTTACTTCAAAAAATTCTTTCAAAAATTTGAAAGTAATTTGATAAATGAAATAAATCGATTCCCCTTATTCCATTATTTTCATTTATCATTCGGTTTCATAATTAAAAACAATTTAAATATTTTTAAAGAAAAAATATATTTTAAATTTTCAAATTTAAAGATAATTTAAAAATTAAAAAATAATTTAAAAGATTAAAAAAATTAAAAAATATACTAAAATTTAAAATTTTCCCTTTCTTTGGTCTTAAAGGGAACATTTGGCTACCTGCCAACTTCAATGTTTTAAAAACTGTTTTGCATTTCCGGTTTGGTGATTGTAGTGGTTCGGCCGTAATTCGTCATCGTCGTTCCGTAATTTCTTTTTTTTTCTATTCGAATTTAAAAAATAAAAAGGTAATTAATGAATTTTTCAAAATTATTTGCAAAGGAACCGTTTTTTTGCGAAAAATTATTCCATCATTAATTGAATTTAATTTATAATTCATTTTTTTTATTATTCATTTTATCTTTGTTTATTTTAAACCAAAAAATTGAAAATTTATTGATTTTTATTTTTCTTTTCTGAATTTTATGGAAAGAAAACTAATAAAATTGTCACAAGTCTATTGTCGCTGTTTTGTCGCTTTATCTCTTCGATTTTCGCTATTTTGTCGCTCCATTTAAGTGAGGTCGGTTTCTTTGATCGTTAAATTAAATTATTCAATGGTGATATTCCTTCACTATGTTAAGGAATGCCAAATTGGTTTAATTAACCTCTAATAGTAATATTGGTTATATTGTTGGTAAAATAATTTTTTCGATTTTCATGTCATTTTCAAGTTTTTCAAATTTGTTTTTAAGAATAAAAAAATGTCACAATACGGTGTCCAAGTTTTAATTTATAGCAAACTTATTTTCCATAAGTGTAGAATGTTTTTATTATATTATTATTATTGATATTAATTCTAAATTTTGTCAATCTTAATATATTATTTATATTAAATCAGTGTTCAAATTAAGTATTATGGTACTGTGGGTAGCTTCAGGTACTGTATTTCATCAAAGATATGAAGAGTCGTGACGATTGGTACACAATTAAGGACTTGGAACGAGCAAAAAATCTTAATCAAGGATTTGATTTAAAAGATTTGACGATGGTTTTCGCTGTATTAAAATAGTTTGATAAATTATGAGGCTCAGGAGCGAAAAGGTGATTCCAATTAATTTCAAACGTAGCATATCGCCGAGAGCTTTGGAAACGTTCTGATATTCTTGCCAGTAAAACCAATTATGGCTAAAATTGTTAGAAAACTAGATGAATAAAGAAATAATAATATAAAATAATTGTAATATTAATAAATAAAATCGGTGTGACATTTCCAGATAAAAATGTAGTGTTATACCGTTACCGTTTTTGTTACCGCGTGCACATACATATCCAGTTTTGAACTTCAATATTTTTAAACTTTTTACCTCTTTGAACATATTGAACGATTATTCTATATTTATTATAAAATATTTATCTGTGAACAGTAATAAAACTTCTTTCTCATCGAAAAATTACCTGAATTTAAATTTCATCTTATAGGAAAGAAGTTCTTTTAATGCTATTTTTTACAATATTTTAGTCGAATAGGCGGAAAGCATTGGATTTAATTCATTTGAAGAATTTCAGAGAATAATGCGATAATTCAATAGGCGATTATTGTATTTTGAGAGTGGTAAATCTGGAAAACTATCGTGTAGTTGATAAATTCAAGAATCGATCATCGTCAAGTTCAGTTTCAATCATAATGATGTCATTTTCAAAAGCTTTTCATTTTCAATTCATAACTCCGTTGGTACTAAAATAAGGCATATTTAGAAATTCGCCAGCGCGACTCAAATTAACAAGTTTAGCAATCGGCATATAAATATAAAATCCTAATAGGTAAATAGTTATTTTGTCCACTTTTCCACTTTATTTTGTTAATATTTCCAGTATAAATAAATAAATACTTTTACCGAAATAGTCTAAAATCTCTGATAAGAAAAAATTGGAAGAGAAAAATGTATGAAAGTTTTATGCGAAAATCTATGCGCTCTCGTGAACCATTTTTATCATTTCTTTTAATGTATCACTTCTACCATGAAATTTCAGATCACCTTGATCGCTAAGCATTTCCAGTCCATAAATATTACCTTCATATTACCTTCAACGATTAATTCTTTTTCAACGGAAAACTAGCCTTTATCATTGATTGTTTAAAATATTGTCTAAAATTTGTGTGGATTTATAATTAATTTAATTTAACCAGCAGACTGGCCGAGTGCTATTTTTGTCTCATACCAGGCAACACTGACCGATTCCTGTGGTTCGACAAAAATCCATGCGGTGAACAGCAACCATTCTATATTCCCCATTGACTAAGTGGCAAGTCTTAAATATTCAAATATGATTCGCGATTCCAGTGTTGAATTGTCCACAGCTTCTAATATAAAGAAGTTATTGGGAGGAAGGACAACGTAGTGAGTTTGCACATTTGCTGCTTTGGCTCACTATGCTGGCGATCAGATACGAATTTATTGCGATCATTTCGTCATATGGAAGAAAATTCTTCTTTATCAAATAATAAGCCGAGCAGAATATTCTATTGAATCGAATTATAGAAAAATAAATAATAATACATAGAAAAATTTATTAAAAAATTATAGAAAAAATTCATAAATGAGCGAAAACTGGAAAAATTAAAAAATGATAAAAAAAAGGAAAAACATTGTAGGGAAATTTGTGCTGCCAATTCTCACATAATTATTATTTTCTATCGTATTACTTTATTTGAATCAGTAAAAGAGAATCCTCAATTGTTATATATTTTTCATTTTTCTAACAATTATTTGACCTGAAGAAATAAAAAAAATTTAAAACAAAATTGAATAATTGAAAAATATTGAAAAAATAATTAATTAGATTAATATTAATTCAACTTAAATTTAAATTGAATTTAATTGCAATTTCATGTCGATTAAATTTTCACCACTTTGCAACTATTTAAATAATTAAAATAAATTGGATCGTTAAAATGCGATGAATATTTAATATTTTGTTTTTTAAGGATATTAGAGGATATAAAAAAGTTGCAATTGCTTCTGTTTAATTGCTGCATACTCTTCCAAAAAAGAAATTGAATATAGGAACATTAACAATAAAAATAAAAGCTCATTGAACTGATAACAACTGAAAAAGCCATAATTCCTGATTTTCTCGCATTTTTTGAATTCTTATACAAAGATTATTCAATCAAATGAGATCTCCGAAGTAGGAAATTTTAAGAGTAATAAGGCTACGAATTAAAAGAAAATAAAGTGTGATTTTACGGTTCTCAAAAGAATTAAAAATACCACAATTGGCACCATCGAATCCAAGTGACTCTTGGAGTAGCAAACTATACGCGCTAGATTGCGAAATGGTTTATACGAGGTGCGGCTTGCGAGAGTGATTTTAGTAGATTGCAGGAGGAGATGGTGATGGATATTCGTGTTAAGCTTGATTTCCCTGCCATGGATTATAATAGTCGGTTCAGTGGCTTAACAAAAAATTTGGTGAAGCGAAAAAAGGTTGGAATTGGGATTTTTATACCGATTACGTATGTTTATCATCACAGATTCCATAATTAATTTACACAATTGTCGCATGTGTCATACATACAGGTAACGAAGTTATTTTGTATTCAAGCGAGAGAAAGGTTTCTCGAGTTCGTTAACTCAGAAACTATTCTAACTGGGCATAGTTTGGAAAGCGATCCAAAAGCCCTACGAATTGTCCACCAGAAAATAGTCGATACATCCGATGTTTTTCCGCATGAAAGAGGACTACAGTATAAAGAGGAATCAAGTTTAACAAGAATATCCATCACCAACTCGTTCCTGCAGTTTACTAAAGTCACTCTCGCAAGTGACAAGCCGCGCCTTGTGTAAACCATTTCACAGTCTAGCGCGTATACTTTGCCACTGCGAGAATCGCTTGGATTCGATAGAGCCAATTGTAGCATCTTTAATTCTTTTAAAAACCATAAAATCACACTTTATTTTCTTTTAATTCGTAGCCTTATTACTCTTAAAATTTCCTACTTCGGAGATCTCATTTGATTGAATAATCTTTGTATAAGAATTCAAAAAATGCGAGAAAATCAGGAATTATGGCTTTTTCAGTTGTTATCAGTTCAATGAGTTTTTATTGTTAATGTTCCTATATTCAATTTCTTTTTTGGAAGAGCATGCAGCAATTAAACAGAAGCAGTTGCAACTTTTTTATATCCTCTAATATCCTTAAAAAACAAAATATTAAATATTTATCGCATTTTAACATTTCAAAGTTTCGAAAAATAAAACAGGAGTGGCACTTTGATTATGAATGAATAAATGGATTTCTTCGCAAAATTATTCTAAAAAATAGGTTAAGATAAATGCTACCGTTTTCTATATCTCCTAATAGAAAATTATTTACTCATTTGATTTAAAGTCAAAAAGAATATTCAAGTTGTTAATACCTGAAAACTTGAAAATGACATGAAAATCGAAAAAATTATTTTACCAACAATATAACCAATATTACTATTAGAGGTTAATTAAACCAATTTGGTGTTCCCTAACACAGTGAATGAATACCACCATTGAATAACAGTTTAACGATTAAAGAAATATCAAACCGACCTCACTTAAATGGAGCGACAAAATAGCGAAAATCGAAGAGGCTAAGCGACAAAACAGCGACAATAGACTTATGACAATTTTGTTAATTTTATTTCCACAAAATTCAGAAAAGAAAAATAAAAATCAATAAATTTTCAATTTTTTGGTTTAAAATAAATAAATAAAAATAAAATGAATAATAAATAAAATGAATTATAAATTAAATTCAATTAATGATGGATGATCAAAGAATGCTTAAGAAGATATCGCAACTTTTGGCCTCAAATTTTTTTACTATTCCTTTTTCTTCACAGCCTCATTGCTTATAAAAAGTATTGTTAGTAACAAATGCCATAAAAGTATTTTTATCAATATGTTCTTTATTTATGATTTTCAAAGAATTCAAATTTTTACATAATTATAGAAATATGATTTACATCGTTCATTCTATGAAGCACACATTTCTTGGGTTGTTGATTGAAGCTTAAATGGGATATAACTTATAATTTAACTGTCATAGCTTTAAACTATCTTTGGCTCGAGTATAACGAAGGAAAACCAGCATAGACCTATCAGTCCTCTTTGTCTAAGTCCTATTTGATGCACTTGAAGATAGATATCAAAATCAAAAATGCCGTAGTTAGAAACAAAATTCATCTATCGTTGAAACCCTACGTTTCTATCTCTTGTAAAAAAGAAGGAGGCTTGTCCTCGTCTTTAGTCACTGTAGGAAGTCAAAGCCAAATCGGAAAAATACTAAGACACTATGTCATTTATGGCATAAAATTCTAGCATTCATTTAATATAATTTGTAATTTGCCCTCGGAAGAAAAAGAGAATAGATCTTTGCTTTCTGATTTCATATATTATTGTGGAATATTTTATTGCGCTTAAATGAGAAAAATTTGCCAAAGAATTGATGAATAAAAACGTAGACGAATTTTCTCGCTCTGTTTAAATTATTTTAAATTATTTTATTTTAAATTATTTTCGAAAATCGTAAATTCAACAAATCTTTATATTCTTTTATTGATTCATTAATCTCATTATTTTAAGTTATATTTCTTTTTTGTGTATAAATCTCATTGGACTAAATAATCTATAAACAATAGCTAAAAATAACTGTTTCAAAAAATTAAAGCATTAAAAAAAGGATTGAAAGGAAATATAAAATATCGATATGGGAAGTAACTTGAGATAAATTATGAAGCGATCTCTTAGCAATAAAAAATATTTATTTCTATTGAAAACTAGCCAGGGAATGATGCCATGCACTGATAAGCTTTTCTCCAGCAATGTTCACTTTATCTTAGCAGATAGCACTAAACTAGAGAAGATAAAGATACTTGCATTTCTGAGTTTGATCTTGTAAATAGGTTTAGTGATTTTCGTTCTCCATATTCGAGGCGAAGTAAGGTAATATTCCAATTCTGCTACAATTAGCATAACTTTATTCTATGACTCAAATGGCCATTCTGAAAGGAATCATTTGCTATACTTCAAACTTTTCTCAAAAATGATCGATAATTGCAATTTTTAAAATAATTTTATTTTATATGACGATTAAACTCACTTATTTTTGTATTTTAATATTGTTCTTGTAATTTTGTCAGATTTAGCGAATTGCATTGAATAATTTTATTTATGTAATATTATTTATAACATATATATACATATATATTTATGTTTATATTTATATGTTTATTCATATTTGTGGAAAAAATTTAAAAAAGCTGAAAAAACAAATGAGAAGAATTAAAAAATAAATCGAATAAAACTTTAGAAAAATATCAAAAATTCGCTTCGTTTAAAGAGTTTTAGCATTTACATTTCGTTGAACCGAAAAATCCTAAAATTTTCTTTCATTAACCTGACGATTAATGAATTTTAGCGGCATATGCCACACGTTCTTCTGCATTGTTCGCTCATAACAGTAAAATTTAGACACATTGCAAAACGATATTATTTGCGCGCAGTTGGTTCGCCTGTCCCTGCATGACGATGACCTTGTGGCTATTGTTGTAACTAAATTTAAAAATCATATTTTAACAAATTCTCCAATAAACAGAAGGGTGGGAAAAAGAGAATTACTAGTTTAATACACTTTATTGGAATAAGAAAATGGCCACCAGCGCTATCTGAGCCATTTTGTAAGTTTTTTCTGATTTTTTATTTTTTTTAACAGTTTTTTACAATTCTATTATGGATAATAAAATCTGTATTCGATTTATTCTAATGGAATTCACCAAAAATTTATTTATAATTATTATTTTTATTATTAAATAATTATTTATTTATAATTATTTATTTATATTTTTTTATATATGTTCGTCTATTTGTTGGATTAATTGATAATATCAAATGACTTGGTAATACTTGATAATATCAATAAAATTTTGAAGCAAAATTATGAATAGAAGGTTGCTGTACGATGCAAAAGATGAAAAAGTAACGAAAGCTCCGTTGGAGTTTACTGATTCGAGATTATTGAATTGTGCTAAGTCATTTACCGCATGAGGATGACTTATGTGAGAAAAAAATAGGTGAATGTTAGTGTGGTTAACTCTTTTGCACTTTTTCATTAAAGTTATTGGATTGGCTCGCTTGAATGTTAAGCATGGCTTGGTGCATGTTTGGTTATGTTTGAGGTTCGTCGAATTCGAACCAACAATAGTTCGATTCGTAATGTTTTTGCATGCTTCAATACTCATATGATCCAAGCCAAAATGTAAAATTGAACCTTTTAATTGAAAAATATTTTAATAATAATTGATTAATAATAATTGATGATTAATAATAAAAAAAATTTTTGGCCATCATACGGCTGGTGCATGTTTGGTCGTGCGTGGGGATTGTCGAGTTCGGTTCTTCTGATACGTAATTTAGTCAAAAAGCAGTTGGCTAAAGTTAATTGTTATGCAGCGAGAATGGCATCGCTTATTATGAACGCTTATTTTTGCTTTTTAATTACTAATTCAGCGAATTTTGCACGATTTTGCAAATGCATTGAAGGATTTTATTTTACAAAAATAGAACCAAAAAATATAAATAAAACTAAAAAAAGCTAAAAAAAACAACGGAAAAAATTAAAAAGGAAAAATAGAATGAATAAAAAGTGAAAAAAAAAAGCAAAAGTTAACGAGTTGTAGCGCTTGGACGAAAGCCTTAATTACACCCAAAAATCCCAAAAATTTCTCAATTGTTCCGCGATTAATTTACGTGCATAAGCGGCAAGTTCTTCTGCATTGTTGGCTCATAACGGTCGAATATGGCGGCACATTGCAATAAGATGACATTTGCGCGCAGTTAGCTCGAATGTCCGTGCACGACGACGATCCCGCTGCTCCCGTTGTTGCTAAATTTGAATATCGTATTTTAGAAGCTCTACTTAATAGAGAAGGACAATTGCTAATTTAGAATAGCTCTGCCAATTAGAAAAATTTAACGATAAAAAAAATGAAAGAAAAAAAATTTACATATGCAAGTTGTAATTCTACATGTTGCCATGCAATTCGCCTGCATATATGGATTTGTGCATGTCAAAAGGGGCAATAGCTGAGCACAGTTCGTAACAACGTCTGGACAGCCACCAAGTGCTCCAGGTCTGTTACATAAACCACATGCTTTAGGGCACCTTTCCAATGCTGTTGGCGCCGTTTGCGGGTTTGTGCAGAGTTCAGGCAAAGTAGTAAAAGGTGTACAATCAGCGCCCGCAGCTAAAATATTAAAACTTCTTCAAAACTTCAAGTTCAGAAAAAGATTGGCCCAGATTCATTTAATTTAATGGTTATTCGTTTAATGGCTATATTTTTGAAATTTGTAGAGCACAAAGTTTTGAACCATTGTTGCATTTAAATGCAGGTGTTAAGCAGCATACTGCGCAGGACGACGGGCATGTTTCTTCTGCTTGTGCTTTAAGTGATGCGTTGAGACAATATGGATTAACCAGGAAGGCTTTAGACCTGTAAGCACAACTAATGTAAATCTAAAATCTAATATAATGCAAGCCAAAACGAAATATGCTTACGGATCTGCATTATCAGCTGCATCTGCACCAAATGGGGCAAAAACAGCAGTGCAAATGATTGTATCCTTATCTTTGCAAGCAGATGGAGGTGGTACAGGACGAGCAGGAGCGGTGCTAGATTTACATTCAGTAATAGGGGTACCTCCTGAGTGAATTCGTTGAAGAAGATTCAACAAAATAAACACAGACAACATTTTTCAGCAAACTGCTTTTAGCATTTGGCAAATGCGGTATTTATTTACCACCATTTAGCCCGAACGATTCTAAAAATTGCCAAGAGTGTGCATAAGTTAGTTCAGGTGTTTTTCATAAAATCGCTATTATTCTCACTTAATTTTTTTGCTTTTATTAAATAAGAAAGAATTGGCCAAACTCAAATAATATCTACTAATCCTATTCACAAAATTCAGATAAACAACTAATTTTTGCAAAAAATAGATCCATTCATTTTTTTTTTCATTATTTTATTTTCACTATACAATTTTTTCTCAATCGGTTGGAATTTTTTAACGATCTAAACGACATCCTAAAATATCCTAAAATGTGCGCAATCGCTCATTTCTGTGGAAGAAAATTAGCTGCTCAATCATAAAACTTCTTCCCTTTAACCTAATTTTTCTCTCAGATATTTAATATTAAAAGAAATTCTCAACTGAATTAATTTAAATTAATTATCCACAATTAATTTAAAATTTCTTTATCACTCATTTCGAGTATATCATTAAATATTTTATATTTATTTTATGTTTATAAATCATATTATCACTAGTTTTATCAAATTATTACTTGTGCATAATAATAATAATTTTTCATTTAACAAATTTTATTAAAATTAACTTTTGCTAAATTTTTTTTTAAATTTTCTAAAAATTTGCATAGGATTTTTCATTAAATTTGGTTTGCATTCAAGTTTCATCAAGTTTGCTCCACGCGATATAGAATTTTGCCGAGGACTTAGTTTGTTTAGTGAGGTAGAAGTAATTCACCAATGCCACTCGGGTTTTATTAATTATAAGTAGAAAATTCGCTCCCAAAACGGACGTTTAAAACGATTTTCTACAGTAACTCACCCATCTATCATGCTTGCCATTTTTGCCTGGTTTCTTTCTGATTCATTGCTCACCTTTCTTTGGACTCTACTTTTCTCGTTTGATACTCAATCCTCATTAGGTCGGCTGCAATTCGTCTAGTGCGATGTGGAACTTTAGCCATGCTCATCTAGAGCGACAGAAATATAGGTTAGTCGCCAATATCACTCGAGGGGATTTTTCTTAATGATAGTTGGAGGCTTAGTTTGAATGTCGGCCTGGCAACTTACCTGTATTTCTATCGCCAAGGAATTCTCTGGCAGCTCGGAGACGTCTTTTTGTAGCCAGCGGAGCCAGCCTAACCAGTAATGCTAAGAGCTGTTAGAAGAAGAAGAATATTGACCTTATTGGAGTAGATTATATAATTTTTTTATTAATTNAACTCACCCATCTATCATGCTTGCCATTTTTGCCTGGTTTCTTTCTGATTCATTGCTCACCTTTCTTTGGACTCTACTTTTCTCGTTTGATACCATCCATAATACCGTTTAGAAAGTAGCGAGATACGATAAACAACGTGGAACATTCTCCGTTGGAAGTCACTCAATCCTCATTAGGTCGGCTGCAATTCGTCTAGTGCGATGTGGAACTTTAGCCATGCTCATCTAGAGCGACAGAAATATAGGTTAGTCGCCAATATCACTCGAGGGGATTTTTCTTAATGATAGTTGGAGGCTTAGTTTGAATGTCGGCCTGGCAACTTACCTGTATTTCTATCGCCAAGGAATTCTCTGGCAGCTCGGAGACGTCTTATTTTTGTAGCCAGCGGAGCCAGCCTAACCAGTAATGCTAAGAGCTGTTAGAAGAAGAAGAATATTGACCTTATTGGAGTAGATTATATAATTTTTTTATTAATTCTCTATTTTATGCCAAAGATTTAATTGATAATGGTGATAATAATATTGATAATAGCAGTTCTCATAAATAATAATCCTTCTTTGCACTACAGTTGTGCTGACGTTTTATTAGCAGTGAATATATACATTTGATTTTTAATTTTTTAATACGTAAAAAATCGGTCTATTCAAAAAAATATTTTTTTATTGTAAAATTCCAAATAATTGCTATTTTTTTCGAATGCATGAGATATATTTTTAAAATATACGCTTCGAATTTTTCGCGTTTCGTGTTAACAGCACTTAAGTACTCGGTTAACGTTCAGCACTTCTTAGTTTCGTTCCACGGGCTGTTAGGACGTTGTGAAATTTTCGCTAAGGAGTTAATTGGCTCGACTATCCTCTCACTCTAACAATATACCAGACTTTTGAACTTGGCCAATGAGGTACGACAACTAGCCAGGTACACATTAAGAGATAAAAGCAAAAGTAAATCGCCTATATGCGATTCGTTGGAAACTCGCTCACAGGAGATAGGTTAATGGATAGGTTCCTCGAAGTTAATTGGTCTTGAATTTTTGCTTTTGTCGAACATTGCTCGTTCTAAAAGACAGAAATGGAAAGGTAATATACCAATACATTTCAGATTTTTGCATAGAAAGCTTAGAACAAACTTTTAGATTATTGAACAGTAGGCAAACGATGCCCTTAAGGCATTAGAAGTGGATGGTTCATGTTGAGAAGGAAAAGATATAAGCGATGCTATGGATTCGAGATAATACTGACATTTGTTGCAACTTCCGCATGCTTATCAGCGTCTGATAAAAACAAAAGTTCACAATAATTGATAAAAGGCCAAATTTCGCTATATTCAGTTTTGCAGTGCTTCGTAATTATTATCGAAGAGGATACCATCGTGCCGGCAATTGGTGCCATAGCCCAATGGACCAGAAAAAACAGTGGAACACTCAGCTCATATTTCGATAACACTTGCTCGAACATACATCAGTTGAATCAACACAATTCATACAATGATAAAAGTCAACTATAAATTAAATTATACCAAGCAAAATTCGTGTCATTTATTTATCAGCAAATAAACTCGTGTCATGATAACCATATTTTAGTTTTGCTATCACTGATAAAAAATAAATCCAAATTCTACAACTGAAACGAACTGCAATCTAAAAAATTACATTTTTCATAAAATGAAAATTTTTTTTATAAATTAAAAAATATAAAAGCGAGTTATTTTCCAAAATTTTTGTATTCGCTGATTAGGGAAATCCTCAAAAAATTTCTTATCACTGCTGGTACTTCGTTCGCCTTAGCAAACCTACAACAATGGTGAACTCACATTATAACTCTTCTCAAATGATGACTATTAAAACAAACTGTTCGATCTGATATTTAGTTTTCCGACTTCTACAACGATGATTAGAGGCACTAACAGTCGTACTAAGCGGCTTCGCACTTTTTGAATTCTAATTGACCAGTTAAATCGAGTCGTAAAATTATTTTTATTAATTTTTATTTTTATTGTATAAATTAAGGATGATTTATAAAGGAAATATATTGAAAAAATATATTATAATATAATTAAATATATATTAAATAAATATATTAAAATTTTAAGTTATAAAAAAAATGGATTTTTATAATAAAAAATCGAATTTATATTTTTTATTGTGATTTTATTAGTAATTTATTTTTTTGTCGGCAATTCTACACAATAACCGAGTTAATATCGATCTCATCGAATCGTCCATTCAAACTGTTTACTTTTTCTTTTTCTTCAAAATCACCACAAATTCTCATTCGCTGATTAGCAATTTCGTGACATCTGACCTTTTTTTTGAAGAACACTCGTCAGTTGCTGATTAGTCGCTTTCCCGCTGGCTTTTCGGACTATAACATATGTGCCAGCCAGGGAATGCTTTAGCGAGTCGCCAGCACTGAAAAAAACACAACTGACTATTTTGAATGCAAATGAAACGAAATTCTAGCGAACTATAAATTTACTAATTGAAATTTTGTAAAATAGTTAATTGCTAATTAATCATTTTTATAATTATTTTATAATTATAAAAATTATAATTATTAATATAATTGTTTATAATTATAATTATAAATATAATTATTTTAAAAAATTTTTGTATAATTTTTTGCAGATAAAAATATGGGAATAAAAGATTTAACGAAAGTAATTGGCGACCATTCACCAAACAGTATTAAGTTAAACGAATTAAAAAGTTATTTCGGACGAAAAGTAGCAATCGACGCGTCGATGTGTCTTTATCAGTTTCTGATTGCCGTGCGCCAAGATGGTAATCAGTTACAATCAGAAGATGGTCAAACGACGAGGTTCTTTTGTTTCTTTTTATTTTCAATTTTCGATATTACTCGAAATTACACTCATTTTATTTATATGCGCGATTAATGAGGCCACTGAATGTTTATAAGAGTAGAATTTTGCATGATAAATATTCACTGCACTTTAATAGTTCTGTGCTCGTTGTATGAGAAATTTCTACTGGCTCTATTTTTTTATAATTGATAAACATGCTTAAAAATATAAGCAAAAACAAGCATGGATTTGCTGCTAATGCATAAAAGAATTATTTTCCATGAAAAATATTTTCACTTACCCCCAAAATTACCACTTAATAGACCTGAATTTATAATTTCTAGCCAAATTTCTGAGGCGAAAACATTAAAATGAGACAAATATAATAATTTTTTTGCGATATGAAATTTATTAACGCTTTTTGATTTTATGTTTTATGATCAATTTTTGTAAAATCTAATTTAGTCACTTAATGGGAATGTTTTATCGAACAATTCGTATGATTGACAATGGAATCAAGCCAATTTTTGTATTTGATGGAAAACCACCGCAAATGAAATCGTCTGAATTATCTAAACGAGCAGAAAGAAGAAATGAAGCAGAAAAATCATTGAACGTAGCGGCTGAAGAAGGTGATCTTGTTGCCGTGGAAAAATTTGAAAAGCGTTTAGTCAAGGCTGGTTTTATTATACTCTTATTATGTAACTGAAAATTTCCTCAGTATTTTTAGAGTTTCCCTATTCGGAAGCTGAAATTGAAAAAATGAGAACTGTTGAAAACTGATTTATTGGTAAATCCGCGAAATTATTAATTAATGGAAATGTGGAAGTTGGGACTCACCTACAGGTCACAAAGGAACAGAATGATGAAGCGAAAAAACTGCTGAAATTGATGGGTGTGCCAGTTATTGAAGCGCCTTGTGAAGCAGAAGCTCAGTGTGCTGCCCTTGTACGATCAGGTCATGCTTTTGCCACTGCTTCTGAAGATATGGATGCACTTACTTTTGGTTCAAATATTCTTTTGCGTCAAATGCTTACAAGGTTTCAATTTTTTTTCTGACTCATTTTTCTTCATTTTCATATGGTTTAAAAATTCATGATTCTCTTTTTATAATTTCATTTTCAAAGTCAAATATTTAGTTTAAATTTTTATTTCAAGTTTAATTTTTATTTAAATTTAAATTTGAAATTTTGAAATTTTCCATTTTCTATTTTCCATTTAAATTTGAAATTTGCGAAAATTTTTATGCAAAAATTGAAATTGATTTAAATTTTATTTCATTTCAAAAATTTGAATTTTAATGCAAAAAGGCTTTCTACAACAAAAAATTTCAGCGAGGCCAAAAAATTGCCCGTAAAGGAAATTAATTTGGCAAAAGTTCTTCAAGATTTTGAATTAAATATGTCAGAATTTGTCGATCTTTGCATACTTCTCGGTTGTGATTATACGAATACGATTCGTGGAATTGGACCAAAAAAAGCCTTTGAACTGATTAAGAAGTACAGAAATATTGAATCAGTTCTTGAAAATATCGACAAAAATGTATATTTTCTTAATCATTTTCATAAAACAAGCACATACTAAATATCGGTTCTTATGCTTGGAATAGAAGGAATAGAAGCAAAGAAGAGTAGAATGGCTTAGTGGGTTATTCTCAATTCGGAGCACCGATGTTGAGATTTTGTTATCGGCAGAGGATTCCCGAGCGGAATGAATCTAACCAGTGTTCTTAAAAAGAAAAAAAATATGGTTTGATAACTGAATTTCAATGCTTGATCCAAAAAAAGTTTTTTAGAAGTATCCAGTTCCAGAAAACTGGCAGTATGTCGAAGCTAGGAGGCTTTTCAGTAAACCTGAAGTTGGCGATTTGAAAGATGTTAATGTTAGTTCTAAAAAATTTTGATTTGATTCATAAACCCATTCTACAGTTGAGTCGATTAAACTTAAGCCTTTCTTAAGCCTTGGCATTTCCTATAATATTTTCTCAAAAACCATTGTATTCTATTACCCTTCGAGTAATAGTCCTTTTGCTCCTTTTTATGCATAGCAGACTCCTATATCTTCCTGACCATCTTTTGGTTCCCACTTTACTTCGAAGCTTAATGCTTCAGGTTACTGATAAGAAATATAGTAAGGTGAAGTTACTGATAAGAAATTATTTATAATAGTGGCTAAAAGATTAAAAGTAGGAAATTAAAGGTTATCTGTGGCTTATTCATGATAGTAGTTCCATTGAGTGGAGCATTAGTGGAATATGGCGGAGTTATGGAAGGTGTTAATGGAGTATAACAGGTTTTTTCAAGGAATTTTGTTTATGGGATGGAAGATTTTGTAGCGGACGTAATCAAATTTTATAAAGAATAGGAAGAATTTTGATGAAATTAATTAGTTTTAGAAAAAATAGGAATAAATAGTTTTTGCCAGTATATTATAATAATATGCATTATATTTTTCTGTCGTTCTTTAAAATTTTCTTTCGATTTCGTTTTTCCAGTATTTATTTGATTTCATTCTAAATTTCATTGCTTCTAAATTTCAGCTTATTTGGAGTGAACCCAATATCAATGGCATTGTAGAATTTTTGTGTGGTGAAAAAAATTTCAAGTATTTCTAAAATTTTTTTTCTTCTAATCTGGTGCTATGACAACTTAATCAAAGCTATAAATTTGGGCATTGATTAATTTAATTTAATTATTATTATTAAGGTTTTATTAACTGATTTCATCTTAGGCTGTGCTGCAAAATATACGTGGCCATTAAATTGATGCTTGAGTTGTTATCACATTAAATCAAATTTTTCAGTGAAGAACGAGTAAGAAATAGTTTGTCACGAATGCAAAAAGGCCGTCAGTCATCTCAACAAGGCCGAATTGATTCTTTTTTTTCATCTTGTAAAGTTATAAGCTCTGAACCAACATCTTTAAAAAGAAAAGTTGTTGAAAAAACGAAATCGAAAGCAAAAAATGGAAATGTAGCAAAAAGATTTAAGAAATAATTTTTTGATAATCATTTATTATTTGTAAGTTTTAATGATAAAATTTAATTGTTGGATTATAAAAATATTTGGATTCGCTTATAAGATTTCTCGTTGCTGCTATAATCTGCTAATATGTTAAGCTGCTTTTTATCATGCATCGGTATAATTATTTATTACATGCAGCGCCAAAAGGTTTTTGTCGATGATTTGAATCATTTTATTTTCGGTTTATATAGCGAGGGTAAAATTTCTCAATTTTAAAAATTAAAATTTACTTATTATTCTCCATTTTTATGTTTTCTGTCCATTTCAATGAACCGTTTTCATTGATAAAAATAAAAGAAAGAGTTTTATGGAATTTAAAAGAAAAAAGTTCGTTTAAATTTGTCCACAATTTTTTTTAGAAAAGAAATTTTTCTAAAAATGGTTTTATCTTTAATTGGTCCCATTTCATAGAAATTTTATTTTATTTTTATACTTTATTTTTAAATGGGAGTGTTTCGCATAATTTCTTACAATTTTTTGATCTTTTGATTGATGTTTGTTTTTATGTTTTTATGTTTTTTGATATAATTTTATAATATCGTTCGTGAATAAAGTATAAAGTATAAAGTAAAGAAATATTATAAAGTGGTAGTAACTGTGGTAGTGATGATATTTTCCATTCAGTTGGATATTTTCTAAAGAATTCTCACAGCATTTTTAATTTGTGATTTCTGGTTACTGATTTGGCTGAAAGCATTGGCTTTTGATTTCGCTGGAAAAAAATGATATCGCTTGGTGTTTCTATTCAATAATAGCAATTGAATATTCGAACTATGTTTTTCTTTTTAGCTCCGTGAACTATAATTTCAGTCTATTTGAGAGGAAAAGAGAAAAATGGCGAATTCAGGTGAAGAGGGCTCAACTAGTGACGATCCTCAATTTTATGACGACGAAATCGACACAATTAAATGTTAGTTGAATGAATAATCAATTATTCATATTTTTAATAGAAAGTCCAATTTCCAAATTTTTAAATTAATTCTCTAAAGGAATTAACATTTCTTTTTACTTGAAATATGCCATTTAGACGTACGCGATTATTTAAAAGATGTTAAAAGTGGCGATGAAATTCATTCTCTTCAATCTCTTCGCACAAAATTAAATGCGATCAGTTCACAGTCAGCCGAATCGATGAAAAAGAATGTTTTCCTCAATTATAAACAGTTTATAAACACTTCTAAAGAGATATCACGTAAATTCTTTTTTTATTCTATTTTTAAGGCTCTCAAGCCACAATAAAATTGTTAGGCGTAATGGCAAACGATAAGTTGCGATATTATAACGAAAAGGACTAACGATTACAATTCAACGATTCAAGATAGTCTGACAACTTTTTTTTCGTTACTTGATGGAGGTGGGATAGGGAAGGATTCATTTACTTCAGTTGAGAGGAAATAATTTGATTTGATACTTCCTTTAGCGTTGTCAAAATGTAATTCGTATGGTTGTTCGGTGGTTGATTCTGTGTGTCTTGTGCTTTTTTTCTGAAAATCTGGCGAAAAATTAATTTTTTTCATCTCTATAGATTATTTGTTTTTAGATTTGGAGAGGGAAATTTATGAATTATCATCACTTTTATCTGATCAAAAATTATTAATTGAAAATTTAATGCAAATGAATGGTGATGATCATTCTTCTGTTTGCACATCTTCGAGTCATAACACATCGATTACAAGCAATCATATAAATGCATTAATGCAAAAAATGGATGGAATTGCTGTTGGTCGAATTGATATTTCCACTGAAAATTTTCATTTTAATATTATTTAAATATTTATTTTGATATATTATTTCCATTTTCAGGGAATATTAAACAGTTTACCAAGCTCGGAACGAGTGATAATGTACGGAGAAGTAACTCAGCTCGATAGCGATAATAAACGACCATTAAATCCTGCATTACTTATTCTTCTATCAGATCGTTTGCTTATTGGACATCCTTCTACAGGTGTCGCTCTAGTTAAGCGGAAGTTTGCTGCATATTTTCATTTATATAATTTTTATCAGTCCAATTAATTATAAATGGTTGAATTTATATATATATATATATATATATCCTCAAGATAGCGCGGCTCCTTGAGAACCATTGTTATCAGCCGAAGATGGTAACTGCTATTAGAAATAGCATAAAGCAAAATGTCCCATTTGCACGAAGGACCACAACCACTGCCTCATGCTGGAATCGAACCAGCGACTTTCTGTTTACTAGACAGATATATATATATATATATAATTATTTAAAACTCATTGTAGCTAATAGCATTATAGGTAAATATCGTTTCCATCTAGAATCTTCTCATCATTTGAATTCCTTGGCTGCAGTTAACATAAAGGATAGAGATGGTGATGGCACCGATAGTTCCTTTAAATTGCTCATTTTTCCAGATCAAAGGTTTTCCAGATTTTTGCTTCATTTCGTTGGAGTTTGAGACTGTGGAGTTTACCTGTCATTTATATTCGCAATATCTTATTTCATAGAATAATGAGTTTAATTTTTGTTTTAGAGTTTATCAAGCGGAAAATAATAGGCTGAAAAGAGAATGGTTAGAAAATATCGAAAATGCAAAGCGAAGTCTTCTAAACGAAGGATTGCTAGTAAGGCAAACAACAATACGTGTTAAGCGCAAACGTGGTAACCATTCAGGGTCGAAATATGAGTCTTCCAATAATTCAGCCATGCGAACAATTGATGAGACAAAAGTTTCTGATGAAAGCGCTTGGCTAAATGAATTACCAGCAGAACTTGATGACTGTATTGCCCATCGCGATATGGAACAAGCGGTAAACATTTTTATTATTTGTTATTTAAGAGTTATTGTTGCCGATTTTTTCAGTTTGGAAATCGTATCTATTTTTCATTTCAGTTCTGTAGACTGAACATTGGCATTGTATTTTACATGAAATGATTTTTTTTATAAAATGAAGTTTATTAACTTAACTGTTAACAAAAATAAACGGTTTTGATAAATTAAGGTAGAGTTAATTAATGAATGGAAAAGTTGTCCATCACGTAACTCAAATATCGATGCTCAAATGGTCATTCGAGAGCGACAAATTGTTCAATTACTTATTGATGAGGTTTGTGGTTGCTGAATTAGATTAAATATTGCTAAAATATTTTTTCTAGCATTGCATCTCCTTGAAAACAAAGAATGAATGAAAAAGAAAAAAGAATAGTTGCGAATATTTAAAGGTACGGAGACCGGGCGCATTGCATGGTGGTCCTCGAGCTGTGCGGAAGGCGATAAATTTATTAACGAGCTTAGGCCGAGCTTCTCAAGTTGTTGAGCTCTATTTGAAGAGAAGAAGTGCAGTCGTATGTTCTATGTTCTCTAAATTTTGATGATTCTATTTTGCTTTTTGTTAGGACTCTTAGAAGTGGTCCTCTGATGAAATCAAATGAGCCAAATCAAAAGTAGAAATATGAGTAATGTTAAAAAAGAACCAATTGTTAACCTTTTTAATAAGAATTCATGCCAGTCATAAATTTTTTTAATGAAATATGTATTATATATTTTAAGGAAATTTTTAAGGAAATTTTATAAAATTTAAAAATTAAAAATTTTAAAAAATTTAAAAATTTTTTATTATTGTCTTTGGAATAAGTAAATAAATAATCAATTAAAGCTACGGATTAATGCTCGTGAATTAACGATGAGTGAAGAACCACTGTCTTATGTTCGCCAACTTTCTCAACAATTCTTGGGAACGATATCAGACGTGGCCACTGAATTTACAACTCAGCCGGAACATTATTCACTTATCTTGCAGTGGTGTTCTAATGAACTCAGTTTAATGTTGTCATTAATTCGCCGTAATGTTATTGAAGTAAGGCGTTTTCTTTAATATCACAGTCATTGTTCTTTATGTCAAATTCTATATTATTGATATGTATTCGTAATAAATGATTATTGATGATTACTAACTAAGTATCATGAAAATTTGCAGGTTGCTCCAACAATTGCTGTTTTAGCTCATACATGGAGAATTTTGATGTCACATTGCAAAAGTTTATGTGCGATTGGAATTGATCTTTCATTTGAAGTCCATCACCTTCTCGTACCTTCATTAATGAGTGCTATTGAGACGAATTTCGATAATATCATAGAGTCGATTCGTTTACGCATTTCGGTATTTTTTATTTTTTAATTTTCTTTTTTATTTCTATTTAAATTTTCTTTTATATTTCTTTTTTAAATGGATATAAATGGAGTTTAGCTTTTTCTAATTCTTGTAAACTTACACACTATTTTTGGTTTGTTTGGCTCTATTAGCGGTATCTTTTTAATCATTATTGATTTGTTTATTTATCTATATAAATAAGAATTGATAATAGGACCAGATAAGTAGTGCAGGAAATATTTCTGAATGGCTTCAATTAATTTAATTAATTTATCATATGTGGGAAGAAAACATACCATATTATACTCCAAATGAATTTATGCTGATAAGAAAATTATTTGACTTATTTCGAAATGTGTTAAACCTTTTAACAATAATTCTTCTATTCAAAACAAAGATTAACGGTTTTCAGTCATTAATCCAATATTTGATAAACTACTGGGATTAAAATAGATTAAATAATAGATTGAATGTTTAATAGATTAAAGGATTTAGCATTTATGGCTTTGCTATTGAAAATTGGATTTGAAACATATATATCTCTATCTTATTGCATAAAACATTATATAATTGTAATTCATTTAAATTATTTTACAAATCATTTTTTTTCTTTTTTTTTGAGGAAGAGCGTTGGCGTGTTTATAATATGGAAAGTGAATCCAATGTTAACCGATTCTTAGAGGAAATGTCTGATCTTGGATTATGTATTGATTGGACAGTTTCGAGTAATAATCGATGCTGTATTAATATTACGCAGAATGCTTGCCATTTTTCTAGAGTCGCTCAGTCTTTATCCAAAGAACTTTCAATACTGAGGTTATTTTAAAAAATATTACATTAACTGTTAAAAAGTACTACATTAAAAGACCATTCTTAACACTCACCATTTTTAACCATTCTTTAGAATAAACGGGAATAAGGGAATGATGCAGTGAGAAATTGCATTTTTTATCATCAGCTGTATGTTGGATCAGGATCAGGTCTTTGTGGATCGGATAGATTTAAGACTTGGACTTAAGGAAAAGTTTGGGTTAAGGATATGGAATTTAGGGAGGCTATATAGCTAAGGACCTACCACCTCAATTTCCACCTCAATTGATTCTTTGGGATCTAACCAGTGGAGACAGCCAGACAAGGAAATGTTGTATAGAAAGTGCTTTAAAACAGTTATAAACCTCTTCTACGATGTAAATTAACTAAATAGCATGCTGATAAAAATTGTTTATCGGTTTATTGAAGGTGCTCTCAGTTGCGTGATATGACTGATTCATTTATGGTGCAGTTATGGACTGAATACCTTTCGCATCTTTCAAATTCACCTCATTCATCCGTGCAGCAGCATACATGCACATTTATTGTTTCACAGGTATTTTCATTCGAAAATCTTTGTCAATATACATTGATGACCAGAATATCCAAATATTTTTGACTACTATTTTATTAAGTTATTACCATCATGTGATTTCGTTTATGATGGTTCTCGAAGAGGTATTCTCGATGGTTTGCTTCAAAATAAATTCAGTGAATTGTTGAAATATAAATCTTCATGCGATGAAAATGGTGATATGACAACTTCTGATGAAGAAGTCGCACATGTCTAATATCCATGTAAATTATCCTTCATCACTTCATCACTTATAACTGTCATCAATAACATTGTCGCAATGCCGTAATTTTTTCTAAAAATGAAAAAGGAAAAGGATTTTTTAAAATTATTCCATTTAATTGCTTTGTCTGAAAATTTACTTGAAAAATTCTGAAATTTTATTTCTTTGTTATTTTTATATATTAAAAAAATAAAAACATGCCGAGCCGTAATATTCCGTTATTGATTATTGATAAGATTCATTGCACAAAAATATGATTTGAAAAGTGATGTGAGGAAATTCTCACGCTAAAAATTACATGGTGGAAAATTTTTCACATTAAATTATTGTTTTGTGGTCGATTGTATTGTATTAATTCAAGTCTAGCAGATTCTACGAATATAAACTTATCTATAAATGGTGTGGATTTGACTATTTTCATTTTTTTATCTAATTTTCTCGCTTTTCTGGCTCATGATTTCTTTCCTTGCCCAAGGCAAAAAAGCCTCGAAATCCTCGTATTCACTGCGATATCACAAGTTGTAATTTTTTTTAAATCGATTTGGGTTTTATATGATCAATTGGTTCGAAATAATTTTACTATTGCAGTACGAAAATTTCATTATTAATAAAATCGAACAGTTGGGCTTTTTTCAATGTTGGAAAAATTTGGGTGGTGCTGACGATTCGCATCTGCTACCATCGACAATCAATGCACTATTTAGAATATTCGTGGAGAGCCAGCGAAACGGACTTAGCTTCCTTCATTCATAAATTTCGTAAAATTTTATGAATGAGAAACCAATTTTAATCAAATATTAGTGATTGATAGTGGTATAGGGGTTCGACTGATGGCAGACAGGCAAAATGTTTTCGATTTCTGATCGCTGAGAAAGAAGAATAAAGTTTGTCAATAAAAAAATTCAGGTGACGACAGGAATATTTCGCAGACGTATCTCAGTTCTCAAGCAATTTGGAAAAAGGAAATAAGTTATGGATATTCTATAGTTTTTGATTCGGTGACCAAGAAAGCCGAAAGTACAAATTTTCATTTGGAGAATTAAAAGACCGGTCACCCTATCATAGGAAAAGAACCGAAGCCTTCTACACCACTTCTATTTTGAACCAGAAGAGTCAGACTGATCAAAGATGCTGTCTACTATATGTCGGTTTACCGCAAACTGGCCTACCGCAAGGTAGTTCGTCTAAATGGCAGTCGCGGCTTTTACTGTGTTTATGCTCACTATATCACAAGTTGCTGGCTTTTCTGCGAAGTATTCATTTCGTTTTTTTCTAGGATATGTGAGCTCTGTTTGGGTAATTTGTTGTAATAATTTGGATGAATGTTTTGAACTGAGGGAAATAGAAATAAAATTGGATGGGGAAGGAAGGGCAGTGGAGGAGGAGGTGAATTTTATAGACGAAGAAAAGCGGAGAGATGAGAAGAAGGCGCCATAGAGGATTAAGGATGAATGAAGAAGGAAATTTGAGGAAATATTTAATATATTTCTTTTCACATTAGTTTTTTACCCAGTTTTTTCAGATTTTTATTTCATTTTTTTTTTTTTTGATTTTTAAGTTGGAAAATGAGTTTTCTTTCCTCAATTGGTTAAATACTACTAAGAATAACGCGAAAAGTAACTTTTCATGCGTATAAATTTTTATTTATAAAGTAAATCTTTTTATTCGATAGAAAAATTTCAATTTATTTTTTAAGAAAATAAATGGTGAAAGGACAACATTCAACGTCATCAACGACAAATTTGATTGAAAATAGCGTGGAATCATCGAATTCTTCGATGAGAACGCTGTCCAATGACTATACGGAACTAATGGCCGGCTCGGTTCCATGTCCAAGCTGTAAAGGTTCTGGGAAAATACCTAAAGGTTCCTTTTTAAAATTTTCGATTTAGCTTCTTTTTTTTTTATTCATGCGCTGAATTTGCATGATTTGTTTTTCTTTTCTTCTAATTTGCACAATCTTTGATTTCTCTGGATTTAATCGCCGATAACAAAAATACCTCAGTTGACTTCAGTTGGATCTTGATTTTTGTTGACAACTCTTATTGAGGATCAGTAGTGGAACGTATTGTGGTTGTCCTCAGCCGAAGTAGCATTAGACGGCCGTGCAGCTATTTGATTTGCTAAAAGAAGCGGTTTAGAATGATTAAATTTATTTAAAATTTATAGAGGTTAGATGTTATGAAAGTAATTTTATTTGGAAAGATTGGATTTTTGCTATTGAAAATTGGTGCAATTCAGAATTTTGCGAGAAAATAGTATCCTTGTAATTATATAATAAAATTTATATATGGGATTTTATTTTTTCATTCTTCGTGAAAAATGGATCTCTGTTTTCTTCGTGCATTTTGCTTTTTCGCTTATTTGAAATATATCTTGGCACTGTCATGGTACCATATAACTGGTACTAATTTTTTTGTTTTTCCAGAATTGGAGGAAACTCTTGTTGCGTTAATTCCTTTAAATGATGAACGTCTAAAGCCAAAACGAACGTAATGATTTCATTATTCATTATCTTTAAATCCTTTTAATATTTATTGGTTTTTTTAAAATTTAATTCTTGTTTGGCGCATTTCAGATGGATTTATGTCCTTTCTGGTGTAATATCGTGTCTATTCCTAGCAGGTGGGATAATATTTTTAATGGTACCTCGAGCCGTGGATTTGAGTAGTAATCGACCACCCATTGAACTCATCAACGTTTTTTCACCAGCAACAGCAGATTATATTTCTTTCTCTTTCATGGTTTTTTTTACTTGTTTTTTACACTTTTTTATATTTAAATTATTCAAAAAAATGGACTTCATGCTTTTAAGAGAGAGAATTTTTCTAATTCGCAGGCAGCAAAAAATACTGAAAAAATAGTGCTTTGAATAATTTATCCTTTATTAAATTTTTAGAATTCTTTAAATATTTCGAACGCAAATTATTATTCCGTGAATATCATAAATTCAACATCAACGATAATATCAAAATTTCAACCGTGGTCAAGTGATGTTATTGGTTCGGGTGGTAATAACACGGCCGTTATTATTGGTGCCAAAACAAAAAATAAATCAATATTTTTTAATAATACTGTCACATTAAAGGGTGATGTTGCGTAAGTCTTTCAAATTTTTTTATCATTATTTATTTAATGTTGATATTTAATGTCAAAGCATATATATCAATTTCTTCGTAAAATTGTTATTTTTATCAATTTAATTCTGTAAGTTAATTGGATTGATTTACTATCATTTAATGAAAGTAAACTTTTGATTTCAATATAATATTGTTTAGAACGTATTGTCGAGCGCCATTCTCCAGATTACTTTCTTTATATGTTAATATGCAGTTCGATATATCAGTAACATTGGAATATTTAAACCATCATGAACAAGCAACTATTTCCATGGTTCAGCAAGTTTGTTGTGTTCCATCGGGCAATTGTACATCAGCGTGATTTTTTTTTTCTTGTCCTTGTTTATATATTCATATATATTTTTTGAATCTTATTTTTGTTGTATATATTAGATTAAATTTGCTAGTTAGGTAAATGCTTGTATGAATAGTTGCAAAAGGGCGAAACGGTGCGTTGCCGATATTTGTGTTATATATAAATTGAACAGTTTAAACAAAAAGACTCTCTATCGTGAAGTAATTGTAATAATTGATTATAGGTAGACTGTAGGCAAATGACGTTGTTGGTAGACTATTAATCTTATTCAAAATTTTTTCTTCCTAATTACTGTTTTTCGAAGAAATTCGAAGTAAAAGAGAGGTTGAAAAGACAAAAGAAAATCGAAGTGAAGGCAAAGCTAATAGAAAAAAATTTGAATAGAAACTGAATAGCTAATCCCGATTAAGGTTATTTTTCTATTTTTTTAAAATCTCTTTAATCGATTCCTTTTCCCTTAATTCGTCAAAAAATCCACGATTTTAAATTATTTAATGACGCCAGTTGTTTTGCCAATTAAAATATTTATTGAAAATTGTCGACTCTATTTGAAGTAAAAAAAATTTGAACTTCTTTTCCACAATAAAAAATTTGCGGATTACGTCACGTAGCGTTCATTCGGGAGAAACTAATAAAATTGTTCCTATTTATATAATAAAACATGCGAGCCGCGTTCTTCGGCCAATTTTAATTTTTTTTTCGCAGTTGCAACCTTTTTTCAGTGCAACCAGTCAAACTAATAAGAAGAAGAATGATCGAAAGAAAAATAGGCAATTCTATTTTCAATAAAAAGCCCAATTTCCAGCATAATTTCTTTAATAATTTTTTATTACTTTTATCAGCGAGCAATTTGCAATTTCAGGTAAAAATTCTAATTTTTATTTCCTTATATAATACATACATTTTTAATAATAAAAATAATAAAAGAAAACTATTAAAAAAAAAAAACTGAGAAATAATTTATGCGGTCCACACACACAAAAAAAAAACGAGAAAAGACGTGGAGGAGAATTACAATATAATTAATGCGAAGCATATTTTCTAAATATAAAATATAAAAATTTCGGCTCAAAGAATAATTTCGTTCTTTTTTTTTCTTTCTCGCCACAAATTGCAAAATGCAATGTCTAAATCTGCTCGAAGTTGTGCAACTCGACTCAACTCAAGCCAAATCGCTTTTTGCCTATCGAATAGAAACATAAAACTCGCTATCGTTTCCCTTACTAAATCATTCTCGGCTGATATTCACAACAAAAATAAGAATCATCATCGTTATTATTACAAATGTAAAATTTACATTATACAAAACTGAAATGCATAATTATACCTAAAAAAAAATACAATCAAAAAAAGGAAAAGTTACTAAAACTTTAACTACGTTGAAAAAAAAGCAATTTTTTAAAATTTCATTTAAAAAATTTACTACTGCGAAATACCAGAAAAACCGATTGAAACCAATTTTTATTCATTCTTTTCTGCGCGATTTTCTAATTCATAAAATTATTGAGCCACTGGAAAACATATATCAAAATAACGTATAAATATAAGTACAAAATACAAAATAAAAATAAATATTTGCAAATATTCGTTCAATAATAAATTAACCAAAAATATTCTTTTCAGATTCAAAACAAATCGATGGATGTTATTTCAGAATTCGTCGCGAAAAATACTTTACAATATGATTGAATAATAAACAATCAGTAGGGTTCTTCATTAGTACATATTCATTAGTTCTGGTTCCATATAAACTAAAACCATAAAAACGTTTCTGCGAGAAATTTTCTGAGAAAAAAAATCTTACGAAAAAAAATATTCCACGACGACAATAATATATACACATTTTTAACAGCTATTTCTGAAATTTTCTTATAAAAAGTATTTTCTAGCTAATAAATGGCATTTCCGAATTATGGTATAAATTTAGAAAATAACATATTATACTAAATAAAATTTAAAAAAACTACCATTTTTTCAAAGCCTTAAAATTTTTTCGAAATAATCGGAAATTACAATTTTTCTTTCCCCTTTAAGCATATTGGATAATAAAATCATAGTGAATATTTATAAATATTTAAAAACGATAAAAAATTCAAGTTAAAACGATCTATACCTCTCAAACTAATCCGATTAAAAAAAAATTAACAATAATAATAAAACGTATTGCACCTGATGGTTGCTTTAATTCATAATTGTTTTTGATTTCAGTTTTAATCTTTATGAATAATTAGAATGAAGAACTTTTTTTATACCGATTCATTTCATATCTTAGCACTGAACGCATCAGGATGGTTTACAGTTTTCAATCACGAGATCATCAACTTATTTGTGATAATCCCGATTTATAGTTTAAACTACAATTACAACAACTGATTATAAATTAACAAACATTTTAAAAATAACTGAAATATAAAGCGAGTAAAAATGATTCACAATACAATAAAACAAACGTAAAAGAGGAATTGTTTAAGGCATAATTCAATATGAAAGAATGGCACTGCACTTATACTATATCAATTGCAGTAGTTTAAAATAAATAACGCAACAACACCGGTACATAAATAATTTTACATTGGGCTACTTTTTAAATAGAACATCTACGATATTAGCTTATCTTAAGATCAACATCCATCTCGAAAAACACCAATCAGATAAAGAATAATCTTAACCACATCAGCACCGAACGATTTTAGCATTACTTGACGAAATAAAACAATTTGACTAGACTATTCCAATAAAATTTGAATAAATATCGATGAAATTTCATAACAGCCATAAAATATGAATGAGCATTATTTGCAAATGGATGCAAATAAATATATCGACGAAGCATTTGGCTGAAATCACGTTCGATTACATCTTTGATATCCAAATGGTCGAATAAAAAATCTTTTAAGGCAAACGTTTTTCATTATATCCTAAAAGGATTTTTACCCGCAATTAAGTGCATATTTCATGGCTGACTCTATTCAGCTAGCTATTTATGTAATTATTAGGTGAATTAGATATAATTAGATAACAACAGTAACTAGTGCAGTTAACAACCACAAATGTGCTATCAATAGAAGAACCAAAAAATAGGAAATATCTGCAAGTTTCGATAATTTCTGTCAATAAAAAGATTTTACCGATTTACCGCTATTCGGTTGAAAAATTTCTATTTTCAGCGCTCACTGCATTCGATGACTGACCACATATGAAATCAGCTGCAGCATCATTTGTATTATTTTTTACATTAATTCGACAACCATGGAAAGTCACAGAACCTTTAAATATTTTAAAATATGGTTGTATCTAAATTTATATAACATTTTCATATAAAGTTTTTAGCATTTGTCAGGTTTTTAATTTAATAACGTTGAAAAAAAGCGAATTAAATTAAAATTAATCGAATCTCATCTTCAATAACAAATCCCTATAATAAATTTACAAGGATTAAATAATGATTAAAAACTGCAAACCTTATAAAAAAGCAAAAAAAAGTTATTAGAATGAAGAAAATCCAATTTCAATTATACTGCATAAAAATCACAAATTATTAGCACCTAATAATGAAACTAAGAAAATAAAACCGAAACCTTGCTTAATTTTTGATGTTGAAACAAATAATTCTTGATCATTGTCGTCCCTTCGAGGACAAATTTCATGAGATAAATTTGCTTTACGTCGATTTCGACGAGTAACTATTGATTTTGTCAATACCGATGATGATAGAAACGAACGCTTAGTCGTCGATGAAATTCGTCGATTTTGTTTAGTGATGGAAACAGATACCATACCGTTCGCTTGCTATGAGCAATATGATAAAGATTCATAATTTATAAATGATCCTTAAAGTAATCCATTAATTAATGATTGCTTTAAAAAAAGTAATCAATTAATTAATTTGAATCGCTTTATGAATCTTGACAATCAAATAATGATCAAAAAAAAAAGATAAATAATTATAATAAATCATCTAATCTTGAACCTTTCAACTGAAATTTCGAATAAAAATATTAATAATGAAGCTTGACCAGGTACTTTTCAGAAGTGTGGACTATTTTCCAGTGAAAAATCGAATTAATCTAACAGAATCACTCCTTATCATTTTCGGTTCATTTTCAGGCATATAAAAAGAAATGGAATACCTTCATTAAATGAGGTTCATGGCCATTCGCGATAGCGTAATTTTGTTGAGTGATACTTTTCAAGCTATCAACGGACTCACTTCGATCACTGTTTTTCATTTCACTCTGGTTAATTTTTGATCTAAATTCGTTCTGATCCAGTGCTCCACCTGAAAAAAAACCTGCCGCAATGGAAGCTTCCGCAGTGCTTATTTACTTTCGCTAATCTCCTTGTTTTCCGAATGCAGAGATTTTGCTGATAAAAAATCTTCACATAAAAATAAACCAACAAACCAAGTGATTCACTGTGAACTCCCATTGAAGTACCAGTTGTCAATTGGTGCACCAGTGGTGATGGGCGCGTTATCAATGAAGGCGAGCCATTGGAATGAGACATCAAATTAATATTGCTCATAGATAAACTATCATTACTGTTTGTAAATTGCTGACTTGATGCTAAAAAGACAAGATCAAAATTAAATTTGAATCACTATTTTTAAATGGGAAGTTCAAATGGAAAGCACAAAGCGTGGAAAGCGTGGTTCCTAATAAATTCCTAATAAAAACGAAAAAAATAAACCAAATGATAAAGAAGTTGGATGACTGGGCTGTCGTACCACATTGAAGCCTTTCACACCATTTCCATTCCCAGTCGCTGTATATTTGCCTAAAATAATATTTTACAGAAATAAAAATAAATAACTATTATAAATTAAAAAATTCTGGCAAATAGCAATCACCTGTTGCCAAACGCTGATGATCCGCCAAAGAGGTTGAAATAGAGGAAGTTGTTGGAGCTTGCTGGCTATGAAATAAACGAGAACGCTGAGCAACCCGATTAGAATTAAGGAGAGACGTTTGACCATCTTGATCCGATAATGCTTTCATGACAACCGACTCTTAAAATTCGCCATAATACAAATAATATAAATGATAGAAGAAGTAAAATTAATTAATAAAAACATGCGTCTTAAAAATTTACTACCTATCGATGAATTAATGCGGTCCTTTTCTCCATCCACTCCAGAATTACTACTTGACAAATTCACATTACTATCATCTAAAAAAAACAATTTAGTGATCCTCCTTTAATTAAATTTATAAAATTTAATCAAACTAATTCACGATTTTTTGAAGCACTATTTTTTAGAGAATTGAAAATTGAGAAAAAAAATATAAAAAATTCAACTAAAAATTTTTAAAAATTGGTGAAAGAGATTACTTTCCCATAAACTTACCAGAATGAGATATTTCATCAGCAGAACGAGAGGTATTGTATGTCTGAGCATAGATCGAAGAAGTATTCACTGAACACGCTTGAGGAAGATGGTGCGCATTAGTTGAAGAATAAGCAATTTGGGGATTCGTTGGTCCTACAGCATTCTGTGGATTAGGTGGTATATGTTGTTGCTGGACAAAACAACCTTGTGAAGTTGACGATTGTTGTTGTAATTGATAACAAATATTAACGTTGTGTCGCTGCTGAGGATGGATCTGATAGTTTGCAACAGAATGCACATTTGAAGATGGCATATATTCAGCAGAAACGTGATGCATTTGGCGAGCAAAATCAGATGATAAATTTCTCGATTGTTGCATTACTACTTCATATTCATTTTGAGATTGACGATATGCATGAGTTGGCTGATCACCAAATTCTTGTTCATGCCGAGCGAGAATCATATGGGATTGCTGCTGCTGTTGATGAGATGCGATAAGAACTGCACCAACATCACCTGATTCTTTCATTGGCTCAATAGAATCGAGGTCATTGAAATCTCCACCTATTAAAAATAATTTTTATAATAAGTAATATAATAATAAAAACCAAATAATAAAATGATAGACTGATGTTAAAAGAAATTTATAGACAAATTAAAATAATTAATGGATAAATTTATTTGAATTTAAATTTGAAAGCATATTATCAAAGAGTAAAACTAACAATCATCCGCTATGTTGGCACCTAATTCCTCTTGCATAACAAAATCTGTGTTAGTTTCCATAACTGCGGTGGCATTTTTTATTTGTGTTTGATGGATTAACTGCTGGTCAATGATATATGTTGGCTGCTGCTGTTGCTGCATAGTCATGCGAACATTAGACTGCATTTGATGGTGACCTTCATTTCGTCTACCTTGATTTATTACAATGCCTTGAGATGATGGAATTTGATTGTATGATGGTGTACTTGGCTGAGAAATTTGCTGTTGGTGAGACTGGTATAATATTTGCTATAAATAACATTTAAAATAAGAAAAATAAGAAAAAAATAATTTATGAAAAAAGTGAAGAAAAAAAGAATGTTACTTGTTGCTGATATAATGGCGACATGGTGTTGCTGCCCTGTGATGCGGGAGAATAGTCCACTGAATTACGACTCGGCATTGGAGATGTATGCACACTAGCAGTAGATGGTGAATTCATTTCAGATCCTATAAATGTAAAATTTAAATATAAAATTTATAAAGAATTATTTCCAGAGAGAAAGATTCATTTAAACCCAAAAAAACCAATTAACCAATTAACAGAATAAACAGAAACCAACGATGTTTCAATAATAAGTTTTTTTAGTGTAATAATTGATAACAAATTCGAAGGCTCAATGAATGATAAAAATAAATGAATCTCTAACTTAATCTTCACCTCTATTTTCTCTTAATTGAAGAAAAAGAAATGTAGAGATTGTGGTGCATAAAGGTAAAATAACAATTACCAAAATAACAAAATTTTTGGCATATATAAAACTATACAAATAATAATAATATCTCATCACTTCTCTCACCACTTCTTTTCAGCTCTGAAAATTAACATCATAAATAAAATAAAAAATGGTCAAACCATTATCGATCTGAGGATAAATAATTCTCGCTGTATGCGTTTGATTAGTCTGCCACTGTTGTTGCATTTGCCCACTATATATTACTTGCTGTGTTTGATTAATCTGGGCAGGTCTCTGTGCTTGTAGTAACTAAATAACTAAATATTTGTAAAAAATAATATGAAATAAAGATATCTTTAGCCGTATTTTTTCTATATTGATTCTAAGAGCATAGAATACAAGAATAAATTTAAAATACCTGCTGCTGTGGCTGGTGAGTCGACCAAATGTGTTGATGAGGCTGTTGTTGAGAGGACTGAGGTTGATGTTGCTGAGAATAATAAGTTGCACTAGATGAAGGACTCTTAAATTGATAAAAGAAAATGAACATACAACATAATTTTTTTATAACAAGTCAAAAAATCCACAATTTGTTGGCACTAATAATATAAAAATATTAAGTAATTAATGATAATAAACCTGCATATGACTCCCCGGCGATGTGTTTTGCATTACTGGTGGAGGATGCATTCTTTGATGCTGAGAATAAGAAACGCCGGAGTTTCCCGATCCACTTGCCATCTTTAAAATTTAATTATAAGAGAATTCAAAAAAAATAATTCAAAAATAAAATACTCTTAAGAAGATAAGCCTTTTATTGAATTTATTTAATATAATGATTTTCTCTAAATGAATATATATATTTCAAAAAAATACAAATTTTCACCTGAGGCATAATACCAGGCCTTTCTACAGTATGAGCATTATTTGCTGATGGCACACGAACGGTCATTTGTTGTTCCATCATATATTGCCGCTGCTGCGCAGCAGCAGCAGCCGCCGCAGCTTGTTGAGCTTCCCTGATTTGTTTTTTTGTTGGTCTTTTGCGCTTTTTTGAGGGTGGCGGACCTGTCTGCACAGAAGTGACCATCTCCTTAAAAATTATATACGTGAAGTATACTTTATACCTTTCTTTTCATCGGGAATTTCAATGTGAATGAGAAATCATTCTATAATTTATTTTTTAAAAATTTTGCGAAAAAAGGCCTCCATATTGCATACATCTATCATACATAAATCTACAAAGTCAAAATATTACCGAAGATTATTTAAATAACTTTCTAATATCACATTTTCTAGAATATAAAAAAAGAATTAAATTGAAAAAAGAGAAAAGTGAGTTCCGAAAGAAATAAAAAAATATTTATTGGATTTGAGCTTTTCTGAACATTTTTAAAAAATATTATGAACCTGTTGATCGATGGGTACAACTTGATGATAATGAGCGTGTACTGAATGAACAGGAGGCCGCATTTGCGGCGACTGTTGTATTTGCATGTACTGCGGTCTCACAGGCGGTCCTTGTTGATGATAAACAGTATTGGACTGTTGCGAAATCGGACCGCGAATTATATAATTCTGAATTTTAAATGCTGGAATTGAACCGAAAAAAAAACGACAGACTAAAGATGAAAACAATAAAAAAATACATACAGTTGTTTGGGGAGGGGTTGGCTGATGCTGTTGAGCATACTGCGGAGGAGGATAATAATTTGCTTGGTTCATTTGAGAACTCTGATGCTGTTGACTAGCCAAAATTTGACGGTGCATTTCAGCATTAACCTAATAAAAAATTGAGTAACTTTTTCCTGAATATTTACTACTGAAAAATTATAATATCAAATAAATCAACTAACTTGTTGTTGATGCATAGCTTGCTGCTGCTGCTGCTGAAATTGTTGTTCAGCCATAGAAGATTGTAAAGATTGATTAGTAACTTCAGTGGACGTTGGTAATTGTGCCGGATTGCTAGTACTAGTTGATGGAGGTACTGACATCGGCATAGATGCATATGTGTAGGGCTGGTAATCTGTAAAAATTTTCTGAACGAAGAAAACAAAAAAAAAACTCCACTCATCGTAAATTATTCTAAACAATCACTAAGAAATAAGAAATAAAAAATAATTACTAATCGAATGTTGCGGCTGCGAATTAGATAAGGATGAATGATTAGCAAAGGGATAGCCAACTGATCGCGGAGCATTTATGACTGAATTGTTGTTGCCACTTGGTGATGCACACCTAAAGCAAAATGAGAGAAATTCAAAAAATACGATCAAATTTAACAAAAGATAAAAAAATGTTACCTCAACAAATTAACCAATAAAGGACTTTGGCTAGCAATTTCTTTATTATTTTGATTACGTCCTCCATTATTTTTTACAAATGATTGATTACAAATTCCCATATCAGATGTATCCCGCGGTGAAACCGTGGTATTTTCCATCTGAGTATTTTCACTAATTTTTTGTCTTTCACAATTGGATGTTGAAGGTGTAACTTCATGCCGCAACATCGCTTCACTGAAATACGTTATACGATTTCGCGAAAACAAGTGATGGGATTGATGGTTCGATTATATTCGACTCAACTACATAACAAGCTTGCTCTACAATTCCAAAATACCATATACCATATTAAGGGTATCTTATAATAAAGAAAGCTAAGCGAGAAATAGGTGAAGAAAAAAGGAAAAAAGGAAGAAAGCCTTTCATTAAAGTGAAATACGAAAAATTTATTTTCGATCCTCAAGTCTGCCAAAATAAGTTCATTTTAACTAAATTTAATTAGTAAAACCAGCTAAACAAAAGTAGATTGAAGCTTGAGCGGATTGTAAATGAAAAAAAATATCACTCGATAAAAAAAAGTTGAAAAAGCCTAAAAAAAAGAAATATAAAAACCACAAAAATCAAAAATTCGCGCATTCCATAAAGTAATAATTTTAAGGATATTAAAAATAAGGATAAAAGAATTTAACCTATTTGAAGACTGGTTGGTTACTGCTGCTGAAGAAAAATTTTCACGTGAAATCTCTATTTTTGGTAAATTATTGTTGATATTATTAATTAATGGTATTGTTGACTGTTGTTTCCCTGTTGATAACCTTAATGTTTTTTCATTCGATGCCACTTTAATTTCATTCGCATCTCCAACTTTTACCGATATTATACCTTAAATTATTTTATTATAGTGTCAATTCAAAAATCAATAAACGTAATAATCGAAAAATATTCTGAAACAGAATTTTGGTCTGAAATGTTTAAAAAGTTATTCTTATTTCAAAAACAATTAAAATAAGAACTTTAAAAAAAAATATTAAAATATAAATAAAAAACTAACCTAAATATCGAATCAAATGTGGTTGTAATTCAGCGATTCGTGCAAGTTGATGAGATTCTTTAAGTGATAAAACGAAATTACAACGATGACGACGACGACGACGATTTATCGAAGAGGACGACGATGAAGATGATGGTGGCAACGACGACAACGATGACAATAATGAATGCGACTGCTGTTGTGAATCTTGTTGCTGATTATCTTCCCTGTTCGGTGATGATGATAATGATAAATTCAAATCTTTTTTTATCGAACTCTTTATTTTACTTGTCGATGGTTGTGATGAAGAAACGATTGTTTTATCTGGTAATGACGTTGTTGTTGCTACTATCGAACATTTTAAATCATCAATAAATCGCTCTTCACCTAGAGATTTATTTCCTTTTAATTTCAAAAAATTAAAAAAATAAAAAATATCAATTAAAAACTTAAAGATATCAAAGAATCAAAAATTTGCAAAAAAAAAACCTTTTTTAACAAAAGAATTAGGTATTCCATTGGTGATAAAAGATGGACGGATCGAGAACTGTCGTTGACTATAATTATTTGCCGTTGTTGATGTAGTTGTTGTTGTAGTATAATAATGAGTAACCGCTTGTAAAGGACGAGCAAAAACTGGTAAATTTTGACGTGATGATGATAATGATAACGATAAAGAAGATGAACTTGGTCGATTTTCTCCATTTGATGATGCTGATGCATAAGATTGTTGCTGTTGTTGTTGATTATTAGTGGGATGTGTTAACTGTTCAGACTGTGGCTGAACGCACACACTGGCCGACGACGACCACGTATTGTTCATACGGCATTCAGGTACACACTAAAAACTAAAGTATTAAATAAAACTAGAAAACGATGAAAATGCATATGAAAATTTTAAACAATCATTGTAGAATTTCTTTAAAAAAACCAAAAAGAACTGTTGAAATATAAATAAAATAATAAATTTAATAAGAAATAACTTGCATCCAAATCGAAAAATTAATTCGATTGAAGCCTTAACGTGGCCGCTCTCATACAATAAAATTATTATCTAAAACTTATTTCAAAACAATTTTAATTTTAACTAAAACAAAGAAAATAACGAAACGATTAAAACTGGATAACTACAAGAAGTACGCAAATAAAAAATATTATGCAAGAATAGACTACAAATGTATAGCGAATAAAATGTTCATTAAGTAAAAATTAACCTATAAATTATCAATAAGTAACGCCTAGCTCAGTGGGTTCTCAATTCTTCCTTGGAGTACACGCTGTATGCCCTCATAGTAGTTATTAATGTGCCGCCATTTACAGGTCGCAAACATGTCTCACTCTCCAGTGAGGTGGGTTGGCGAACTTCCGTTTAAAAAAATCTTTCCGTGTCACCTACAACTCTTATGAGTGATATGTATTTCCGATATATACCAGGTTGTGCATATACACCAGGTTAAGGAATGAACATGAGTGCAGTTAAATAATTTGAACAATAATATAATGAAAAACGATAATAAATATCAATTTAAAAATGATTTAAATTATATAATTTATTATAAATTATTATAAATTAAAAAATAATTAAAAAATAAAGATCAATAAAAAACAAACAACATAACAAATAAAAATTTTAAATTTAAAGAATTTTTTTAAAAAAATCGACTAGCCAAAAAAATAAATAAAGAAAAGAAATAAAGAAATATGAAATGTATAAAAATAGAAACATAGAAATTAAATGAGAAAACCATTTGAAATTGAATGCAAAAATAAAAAATGAATAAATTAATGAAAAATAATAATAAAATAATGCAAAAAAGTACTTAAAAGTACTTAAAACAATTTCTAAAAAATTCGCAATCTTTTCGAAAAAAATAGATGAACTTATAAAATAAATATATAAAACAGATGCTAATAAATAAGCATTTGGCGCTCCATAGTTATTAGAAATTATTACCAACAAAGAACTTAGCGACAGAAATAGAGCTGGCAGGTCACCGGAACAAGCCGTATAGAAAACCCGCCGATAATCAATATAATGAGAACAAAACAATTCGGCTATCCTTTCCTCTACGAATTTAGTGATAAATATAGAAAATTTAAAAACTTTCCACATTATACGGTTAACCAGCAAAAAAATTCCTATCCTTTCTTTCAATCCTTTTTTTTCGTTAAATTATAAGGGAAATTTTTAAAGAAAGCAAAAACTGATAAATAAATCATAAACTTAAATAAACAAACTAATAAGTTTCAGAAAAAATAAAAAATAAATAAATCGGAGATGAAAATATTTCTATTATTGCATGGGCCAACTTAACAGCAATTAATCAAAAACTTTAATTAAATAAAACAGTCAATCGATAAATTGCAAATAACAAACATTTAATTTGACGTTTTATCATCCAGGGCTTGTTTTTCGCATTTTAAAAATACTAATTTAGAAATGAAATAACAAAATTTTGTTATGATTTTGTAAATGCGAACATAAAAACTGCGATTAAAAAAGTGAGATATCGGCTCAGTACGAGTAAATATAAAAAAATATCGATTAGTGATAATAAAAGTAAGAAAAAATAGCAATAATAATAATAATAATAATAATAGTAAAAAAACGAATATAAATGTTGATAAATGATAAAAGAAATGCTTGACATTAGCATTGACCAAAAGAAATTGATCAACGACGTATCGATCGATGATAAAAAAAAACATAAGTGAATATCGACAGATGAGCGAACGATGGCACACGTAAAACGCAAAAAGAAAAGAAAAATTTAAATAATAATTATTGAGAAAATACACAAAATAAATTGAGCTTATTTCTTCTTATAAAAAACAAATAAATAAATAGAAAAAATAAAAACGATGGAAAAAGAAAAAATCGCGATGACCTCTGACCCCAATGAATTATCAATGAATAAACAATTATAATAGCGATTTAAATAAATTTTATAGAAAAAAAAACCGACGACGGACTGGCATAAATGATGAATCAATAACGGCGCAAAATGCATAATAATTATCCATTAACGACTCGAATAAAAAAGAGAAAGGTCAAAGGTGAAATAATAAAAAAACTGCAGAAAATAGCCAACCACCTCGAGAAACTGGCCACAACATACGCGGCATTCTCAAAGAATTTTTGAGTTGAATACGCGACGCAACCGCAGCGCTAGATAGCCGCGTCGCGTATTATCGATTGCCTGAATAATGTCATAAACATCATCAAAATTGCAATATTCCCGCATTTTCAAAAACTATTTTTCTTAGGAACTCCGATTTATTTTCGGTGTTTTTTTTTATTAATCCGCTGATCGATAATTCCATTTTGCCTTTAATTATTAAAAAAGCCTGAAGGCTTAAACGCGAGGAACCCATCCTTTATTCAGTGACAGGTGTTTGGATTGGATCCTGCAAGTGCTAGTAGAATTAGAAAATATGAACCGGGGAAAACATTTCCGATAGCAATTGGGGTGGAATATCAACATCACCTGGATTCTTTATCCTTCAACGCGATAATCTGCGCCACTACCCACTCGGCTATCCTGCACCTTCATCCATTATTATTAATTATTTGGTGATGGCTTGTTAGAAACTTTCCTTTTTTTTATGACTCCTTTTTTATATAAGAATAATAAAGGCATTTTTATAAAAAGTTTTAATCATAATTCCGATAATAAAACTTTTTATTTATTTTCATTTTTTACACGAAGAAACAACAATGAAAATAATAATGGAAATAATTAATCGAAAAGGCCGAAACCCATATCTTCATCATCTGATTCCTCCTTTACTTCTTCCTTTTTACTTTCTAAAATTAAATAATTTTGAACTTACTGTTTCAATAAAAATCAAAGGCAGCACATTATTCTCACAAAAGTTATTCTCAGTCATTATTCTGCGTTTAAAAATATTACCCCTTAAAGTAGCAGGAAAAACTAGCAAAAGTTGTCTTCAAATCTACAAATTTAAAGATAATTAAATATTAAATACAGATTTTAACCTTTTGGAGGAGGCTGAGCGTTATCGTTAGTAGCTGCATTTGATACAGTGTCAACAGCGGGACGAGAAGTGCATCCAAGCGTTACTGATGAAATTTTGGTAAGACCACTTTTTATCAACTTAATCATATAATTATAGAAAAAAAAATCAAAAATTAATAGAAATAATTAAAATCAAAAAAACAGTAAAAATTAAACTTCATCAACTGCTTTATTGGAAAGGCTATTAACAATTTGATTGGCATCTTGCATATCGACATCAAGGCCAACTGAGCCTAAAATCTTCTTTTAAAAAAAAATTTATCTTATGAATGCTTTCATGAATAACTATTGCAGTAAGTATTATCAGTATTATTAAGTATTATTATTTATTATTAAATATAAATTAAAATATAAAATATTTTCTGGATCAAAGAAAGCAGATGGCAAGAAAGAAACAAAATGATCAGAAAACAAACTTAAAATTCCATTTTTAGAATATATATATATATAACTTAAAAACTATTAAATAAATTTAAATAAAATAAATTTAAGTAAATAAAATTTATTATGAATTAGTAAACACTAAATGGATGACTAAAATTAAAAATAAAACATTAAAAAACTGCAAACATTTTAAAAAAATCAGATTTTTGCCAAAAAAGGAATGTGATAAAAATATGATAAAAGTGATGATAAATAACTATGGTATATAATGATAATAATAATATTCAAAAGGCTATCAAATATTTGATTAAATTATTATAATAAATAACAGCAATAGAGATAATAATGATAATTATAGTAACAATAAAAATAATAATAACAATAATAATAATGATGCATGGATATAATGAAGATAATAACAGTAATAAAGTAATAATAATAGTAATAATAAAATAACCGAGAATTTTTTCGATATCCTTCGCGTTTGGTGATTTATTTCCACCGATTTGCGCAAGAAGATAAGCCGCTAAATATTTCATTTATACCTTAAAAAATTAATCTTATTGGCCTTAATTAATTAACGATCGCTCCATTATCTCCATTAAATTTCGTCAAACTAACAGTCTTCCTTTCTTTTTTCCAGGTACTAACCACTTGACAACGAAATTTGTCAAATTAAGTAAATTTTGCAGTGGAACTGACGATTAGAGCTATAGGCGGATGACCAGCATCAGCAGGATTTTTGAAAGATTACTCATGCTGGCAAAGAACTCCAGGATTGGCTCTCCACTAATCCGTTACCACTTCTTTAAGTATTTTTTCAAGAGACGTCACCACCACTGATTGTATTCGCTTCGCACTAAATAAATAAGTTCCTTAGGAGATAGAAATACAGGTGAATCGCTAGCATTACCTGGATTTTAAGACAAATTTATTCCTGCGGGAAATAAAACCTCAGCATCGGATATGAGTAACAACCCGCTGAGCTGTCCTATCCCTATCGTTATCACTTATCAATTATTGGCTGTTAAAGCACCCTTCTTCAACGAAATTAACCACAAATTGAGGATAATTCATAAATATTCAAGTGGCTTTCCAGGAAATATCATATAAGCGTGTAGATGTATATTTTGGCATGCTGCCAAAATTGGTTTTAACCCCGCCTTCGACGTTCTTGTTCCTTTGCCATGCCGAGTTAAGCAAATGATTATTGCTCGTCATCTGTTTGATCTTCGCTGCCTGATCAGAAGTTTTATGGAGGAGTCGTTTGGCGGCATTTGTATAAGGAAATTCGGCTACCCTGTCTCCAACAGTCTGTTGTGGGCTAAGGAACAAATGATTCACTAATAGGCCCAATTCGTTTCCTTTTCGACGAACGCTTATTAAACCAGAGAAGGAGCCAATTTAGATCGCATAATAGTGATCGCTGCTAGGATGATCTCTTCCGATTTTCGGAAGATAGGTTTATTCTTGCCTGGAGTGGAACTCCAGTGTTGCTACTCCGAAATATAAGCAAAAGCTGGACTCGCTGAATCTTTGCAATATTCAATATTCAAGTCAGATGTGCCCATCCCTTTGGTTCCTCTGGCCCATATTGCTAGTCCTTCGGCGCGCCTAAACGCTAAAAGCTGAAAAAAATATAAATCAAAAAATAATTTCATCTCTTTTATGTAATAATTGACTTTGTTTTTCTGACGATGGAAATTCTAGTTTTTAGAGATTTGCTACGATGAACCAAACAGCCTTTTAAAATCGCCGGTTTAGGCGCCTCGGCTTTAAGCCATTCAGTCCATGTTTTGTGTATTTGTATTATTTTTTTTTTTTACATTCCGATTTAAAAACAATAAATTTCATGGAAGAAATGACAAATAATTTATTAAAAAGAAAAATCGTTTAAAGCAAATACATTTGAAAATAATAAAATAAAAATAGTGAGGCATCGTCATTTTAAAAAATAGATCATTTTCTTTGTTAAATATCTAAATAAAGCGTGCACCAATTTTGATTTAGCTGAATATATTTGTTGTCTACAAGAATCGAACTCTTTCGATGAAAAGCTTCATTCATTCTAAACGTAGAGGATAGCTGGCGATAAAATTGAATAATAGACAATAGACTAGATTCCATTTTAATTCCTCCAGTCCAACGACGGCAATCGAGTCCATACCCTCTCCTATACACAAATGAACCATCGCTTTCTGACTCATTGAAAAATTAGGAGGAACTGAATTTGAATATGAGTAAAGCGATATCAAAGAAGGAATTAACAATAAACTACTTCTCCTTCGCTTTCAGTACTTGTCTCGCATACAACCGATGGAATCGATAATGGATTCTAAAATTATTTTTTATTTCATTAAATTATTAGGTTATTTATTATTATTTAAAATAAAGTTTTTTATTTCGTAATCTCCATTTAAAAATAATAATTTCCACTAAAATGTCTTACACTTCCAGTCCTACGATGTGTTTTTATTGTATTCTTAACGGCTCTAACTTGACGTTCTTTATCTGATAAACCATCCGAATGAATAGCAGCCATCTCTAAACTTCTCTCTAATGATGATTCCATCGTCGATGATGAAGTTATGAGAACATTATTTGACCTTAAAACATTATATCATTGAATCATCAGTGAATAAATATAAATAAATTCCCTTATTTTCAAAAAAACTACTTTTAGTAATGGCATCGAACCGGATAACTCGCCCTTAAATTGGTCGTTAATGAGGAAATCAAATTAGTAATGACGCGAGCTCCTAAAAGAAGAAGGGAAAAAATAAAAAGAAATTATTTTACCTCTCATTTTCGAGTTTCGAAATTTTTTCGAAATTGTTTGTGTTTGGTGAATCCAAGGACGATTCCAATACATTTCTATTAAAGTAAAATATTAGCGAAAATAAATCTAAAAACAGCAAAATTTTAATATTTTGGAGAAAAAATACATACTCATTGCATAAATCCTTATCATCAGAACTTTCTTCAGCTGATGCATCAGATATAACAGCCACTGAATCGTTCTGACCATTAAGTAGCTCGCCACAGATTATCTCATCTTTTTCTGAATGAGTGTCTGATGCTTGTGCTAACGAACAACTTGAAGATTCATTTCGCAGTGCTTCTTGATAACTATTTGATTGACAGAGCTAAACAATAAATATAACATCGAATGAAATAAAACTAGTAAAGACATAATAATATTAAATAAAAATGCTTGGAGACGAAGATACAGGTGGCTCACCAATACTTGCCAGATTTTTATGGAAAATTTATGAGAGTGAAATTGAACCCAGCAAACCAAATAAAAAATATACCGATTTCTGAAATCCAACACTGGAATATGTCCGATCATTGTTCGGTTCGTTTTGTGGCCTAAAATAATTTCTCAAAAAATTTTTCAGGAATAATTTTGAACTTCTCTAAAATTTAGTAAATGGCACCAGTTCACTAAACAGAAAATGCCAACAATACAAATAAAATTAATGACAAATACAAAAACCTTTGCGTTTTATTATCATGATCCAAAATTCGATCTTCAGGAGATGGTGAAAATTGTTTAGGTATATTCGTTGATGAATCGTGATCAGTTGTCGATTGTCGTGAACGTGGATACGACGACCTTTTGTCTTTTGATCGAGCTGAAAACCAATTTTTAACTAGTAAAAAAGGGGAAAATTATCTGAATAATTTATAAGACGTACCCGGTGTTGAACGTTGAGAAGAATCACGACAAAATACAATTGATCCTTTACGGTTTCTTTTTTTATGTGTTGCGGTAAGTCGTCCATCAGACCATCGTCCCTCAACATTTCGATATAGATTTGCTGGACGAATCTTAACAAAATATAAAAACACTTTAGTCATATAGAAGGCCATTTAATTTATCACAAAGAAGTATTTAACCTGAGAGACTTTTCAAAAATACTATTCGGCAATTAATAATTCAGATTTTTAAGAAACGTTATATGACAAGAAATAAAAATTCTCGACGCAATAAACAAAAAATTTTTGAAAGAAGGAATGGAATGAATGATCTATTTAATCTTCAATATAATTATTATAAACTATAACAAAGTAAAAACATATATACTGGTTGTCCACAGTGCGCACAACAATTGCATTCCTGAGTTCCAGAACCTGATACATCATTATCCAATAAATTGTGGAAACCTGAATCTATCGATATTTCTGAATAACCTGAATTACGAGCTGGTGAACCTCTTTGCAAGTCTGTTTGAAAATTAAAAGATCCATAGAGTTTTGATGAATCACGAGATATGTTTCGATCTGAAAGCATAAATTCGTTAAAAATTTAATTTGACGTTTGAAATAATTGAAAGGCGAACCATTGCTTGTATTTCGTTGAAGAGATGGTGAAATTTTATTAGATAAGCGATTCTGAGCCGAACTGACAGAGGAACTTTGTCTGCTAAATGAAATAGACGCGGTCTGCGATAAAGGCATTGCACTCGAACTGAAATTTAAATTTAAACAAGCACTGCAATCAATCTTCACATAATGAAATGAAAATCATTGAAAATTACAAAGAGCATAATTTACCCAAACGAACATCTAGTTGGGGAATTCGAGCAAATATATTCTGGAACAGGATGAAAATCCTCGTCCGATGAAGACATATCTTCAGATTCTTCATATCGCAAAGTGGCACGATTCGTTAAAAATGGATAAACACTAAAAATATGTAAATGAAAGTTATTTAACAAATTGATTAATTATTGCTGTTCCAGCCAACCATCTATTTAATTAAGCCCATTACGTCTACTTACTATTAAGAGGTATTTTGTCTCTTTCAAAAAAAACAAAAATAGTCCTGAGTTCCAATAAAACATGCCGTTTCATACAACTGGAAAGAATTACAAACATTGATAGACAACTATTATTTTGATTAAAACAATTGGAAAATTTACTTTTGTTTTCCACTTCCAATACACCCATTGATGAGTTCAGGAGCAGCTCTAACGCCCATACTTTTCCGAATTTTTGTTGTACAGTGGTATGCTCTTGGATTATTCGAAAAAATTCCATACCGCGACAGAAATCGTTCTCTTTCAAGCAGCCAACGTTCCCGTTCATTAAGGTCCTACAGAAAATTCACCTTATCATCCAAATGTAATGCACAAAGAAAATACAAAATAATTTGCGAAAATCGAATTTGTAAAAAAAACCCTTTCTCGTTCAGCTAGTTCGTTTAGACAAAATGTTAATTTCGAATACATTCGGCTAGCGCGTCGCATTTTATCTTCATACATTTCTCGGATATCTTGTGCATGGCGTAGTTCTTCTCGTCGTTTTTGCAGTAATTCTCTCTCTCAAAATTCTCTCTCTTAAAATGAAGGCACTTCCTTCATATATGAATAAGTTTTGCATCACATGCCAGTAGTGTGCAATATTTTGAAAAATTTAATATGGACCATTAATTAAGAAAATTGTTTCATTAATAAAAATCTAATTGATATATCGGATTCAGCAGTTAGTTTTATCATTTGAAGAAAAAATAGTAAAAAAAAACCATTTTGAGCTTCTTTTTGTTGATTAATTGGTTTGTCTTGACGAATACTTCTCATATATTCAATAACTGAGTCTTTCCATGATTGTTTCTTGTTAATCCATTCTGTATCACTGATATTTGCAATTTCAGACTAAAAGTAAAGAATAGATACTTTTTTTTCATTCGAAAAGTGCTAAAAGTAAAAAATAAAATACACAAAAGTGCATGCAAAACCAACTTTGAATACAGCAATATGTGTTAAAATATGAAGAAAAGACGGTCGATTTCTCGGTTTAATACTCCAGCACTGCCGTAATAAAAGTTTCAGCCCTTCAGGTGCTGTTTCTGGGATAGGCAAACTTAAATTACTGAAAATAATAATAATAATTAAATTAATAAAAAATCCCTAAAAAATATTAAATAATATGCAACAACCCAAATTATTAAACATAATTATTATTAAATACAAAATTAAATACGACAACAAAATAATGAATTTAGATATATTTGGAAGATAGAGAATTTAGAGCAGCTGGTATTCAAATCTCTCTCTGTAACTTTTCGATAACAAAATTGACTAGAAAAACAAATCAAATTTCGATACAAGTTATACAAAATTGCCCAACAAATAAAGTACAAGTACATGAGATAGAAAATTCTTAATACCACTTACTTAGATCCAACTCCCCAAATTATCGCCATCGAATCGACATCTTTATACGGAATTTCCTGTGTTAATAATTCCCATAATACTACACCAAAACTCCATATATCAACCTGAAATTAGAACACTTTTACTTTTTTGTACAAGAAACTATAGCAAAAAAATTTTTATTTTCATAAACTGAATACTAATAAATTAATAAATTAATTAAAATTAATAACAAAGTTTCATCAAAACCTTTTCTGAACATGGCTCTTTTTTTATTATCTCGGGCGCCATCCAAGCTGCTGTTCCACAGAATGACATTACAGTGCTTTTTTGTCTGTTCCACTGGTGAGAAGTACCAAAATCACAGATTTTTAAAACATCTTTGCTATCAACAAGTATGCTTAAAATTAAATTAATAAATTAATGAATTAACAAATTATTGGCACGAAGTTTTTTTTTTTTATATTAAATATTTATATTTTTATATTTTATATTTTTTTATATATTTTTTTATATTTTTTTTATATTAAATAAAATTTTCACTCATGTAATTCCGATTTTTCATAAAATTTCACGCTGAATTTTGAATCTAACTCAATCCAGTTCAATCCGATAGAACAAAATTTTTTTTCCTTTAAATTTTTTGATCATCTAATTCCCGGAGGAAAATAACTTTGCACTGATAATAAACTGATAAGTGAAGAAGGAAATTTTCAAAAATCAAACTTTGGAGATTTTAAATCTCGATGAATAATTTTCTTTTGATGCAAATAATTCATTCCATCTGCGATTTGCCTCGACCATTCAGCAAATTTATCTCTTTCTATTTGTCGACCATTTTTTAACACTTCATATAATTGACCTTGCTCGCAATATTCCATTATAATGCAAAAACAAGGCGACTGAACACATACGCCTCTTAAAATTGACAAGATTTAACAGGAATCTTAAGTCTTGCAAATTGTCATTTCATCAGATTTATGAAAATAGAAAAATTATCCACCGGTATGAGTGAAATTTCCAATAAGAATGAAATTTCAATGGTTACTAAAGAACGAACGAACGAATTTGTACCTCTATCTTTGATAAATTCTCTAGCAAAACGATCGCCCCCTAATAGTCAGTGGAACTAGACAAATCAAAATCAAATTGAAGCAACTATCATACCCTTACACAAAAAATTTATAACATTTTACTTAATTTTTTTCAATTATGTAATTCTGTAATTGCCTTGTTTTTTGTTTTTTAAATTACTTAAAAAGTGGAAAATAAATTTAAATAAATGAAAAAAAAAAATTACTTGAATTTAATAACGTTGTCATGATTCAGATGTTGTAAATGTTTAATATTAGTTTCCTCAATATTTTTAACTTTTTTAACCGCAACAACCTCATCATTTAATTTACCCATAAAAACTGCGCCTTGTGATCCAGAACCTAACCAGTCCAAATCTGTTATCAATTCAAATGCTATTTCCCACCGATTATAGGTTGATGAAGAAGATTTTATTATTTCGTTTGACCTGAAAAAACATTTTTAAAATGGAATCGTCTTTTAAAAAATTTTTGCATGATAATAATGACTAAAAATAAAAATAGAAAATTGATATTCTTGAGATAATTATATTTTCTTCATATTATTTGATAAATATAAATATTTAATAAAAGCTTAGACTGGAAGCATTTTGCCTAAGCTTTTATATAAAAAAAGCTTTTTGGCCAATTTTCACTTAATAAAACCTGATTTTTTTCAGATTTCCTTAGTTTCCCAAATAAGAACCATTAAATAAGAACCACTAGAGGTGGCTTTTTATGTGGTAATAGCTGATATGACTGAAATTCTTTCCTACAAAAAAAAATTTCACAAGAATCGAAATAAATGATCTAATTATAATATGCGCAAGTTTAGACCAGCCGAATTTCATCATTTCTTTCGAGCGTTCAAATAAAACTGAAATCCAGCACTGTTGTGACGATTCGGCGCAACTAAATGTGGGCCTTTCCCTGGATCGTTAGCTTCGATTCTTCTAATTTAACGCAGTGACTCAAAAAAAGGAATAACTAACAGAGATTGCGCCGATCTTCCAAAATATGTCCACATTGGTTTAAAACATGAAAATAATCCTTGGTAAATCGTATCGATTGATGAATTTGCCATTATATTTTGAAAATTATTTTCAATATTTTTGCTATTATCACTGTTATCAATATTATTGTTGTTATTATTATTATTAACGTTGTCGTTATTTGCAATTGTTCGAGACGAATTATTTGAATTCAAATCTGAAAAAAATGAAAATTTTATAAATTTATGTATGATAAATTTTATTAAATTTTAAATAAGAAATTTTTTAAGGCTGTAATTTAAAAAAAGTTTTCTTCAAAAATTTTTTATCTATTAATACAAATAATTTTTTTTTTTAGAAAGTCCTCACCATTGCTGGTTGGACTCGCTCCACTGGCTTGTCGCATTGGGTAATAAGCCAGGGAGTCCCCTAGCGATAGAAATACAGATGAGTCGCCAGCATCACCCTGATTTTTGTNACTGTTATCAATATTATTGTTGTTATTATTATTATTAACGTTGTCGTTATTTGCAATTGTTCGAGACGAATTATTTGAATTCAAATCTGAAAAAAATGAAAATTTTATAAATTTATGTATGATAAATTTTATTAAATTTTAAATAAGAAATTTTTTAAGGCTGTAATTTAAAAAAAGTTTTCTTCAAAAATTTTTTATCTATTAATACAAATAATTTTTTTTTTTAGAAAGTCCTCACCATTGCTGGTTGGACTCGCTCCACTGGCTTGTCGCATTGGGTAATAAGCCAGGGAGTCCCCTAGCGATAGAAATACAGATGAGTCGCCAGCATCACCCTGATTTTTGTACAGGTTTACTCCTTCAGGGAATCGAACCTCAGCATCGGCGCCCCCAACTGAGCAACAACCCACTGAGCCATTCTATCCCCTAATACAAATAATTAGGAGGAAAGATAGGTGAATGATTGTTTAGGCTAATGTTTTCACGATTTATTCGTGCCTTTTAACCTTTTGTTAATAGTAAATTTGTTAGTAGAAAGTGCGAATGGTAATTTTTAACATTTTAGCAACTATTTCAATTGTCAAATGACGACTATCTGATAAAAATTTTTTGACATCGTATTAATTTATTTAGTGATAAGCGCTAAACAATTAATTACTTATCATTAATTTGCTTCTTTTGTAATTAGATATTTAAAAGGGTCAAAGTTGAAATTATTGAAATTTAATTTGAATTTAATTTAATTTTATTTTATTTTCATTAGTTATTTACGTCTATTTTATTTATGAATTTAATTTTTACTTTAATATAACTTCATAAAATAATAAATATAATTTTTAATTTAGATTTTTATAAATATAATTATTTATAAATGTAAATATAATTATAAAAATGTAAATATAATTATAAAATAATTATATAAATATAATTATAAATATATTTATTTATTTTGCTATATTTCTTCTGTATTTTTTACTTTTAATTTTACCACTATTATTATCGAACAATATTGTACAATCAACAATGTTACAAAAATATCAAATGCACTTGTTTGTCTTCTAAATAAATAAATTAGAATATAATTTTTATATTATATATAATTTTCTGGAATTTTTATATTATATATAATTTTCTTTTTTCTTTATAAATAATATGAATTATAATAAAAATATTAATAATAATAAAAATAAAAGAAAATAACGAATAAAAAAAGAATAGCACGAACCATTATTAGGGAATTCGATAATCGTCGATGGTAAATTGCTTGTTGATTGAATCGATGGATCAGTTAGCGATTTTTGACACGACGATAATACAAACATTTTCGACTTACCTAATAATTTTATATTAAATTTAAACATTTTAAATTTTAAATATTTAAAATATTTAAACATTTTAAATAAATATTAATTATTAATTTTGAAGAATTAAATTATAATAAACCATAAATATTAAAAAATAAACTTTAAAATGCCGAAAAATATTTTCAAAATTTAACGGTTTTATTAAATTATTAAATTAATTATTATCATTATTATAATTATTATTAATAATAATTATTAATATCAATTATTGTATTTTTAGGAAAAATATTAGATTATTAATATTATTAAAAATGTTGGAAATTATTAAAGTAAATTAATTTAAATTAAATGAAATTAAATAAAAAAAAATAAATTAATTAATTCTACAAACAAATACGAGAAATGCAATAAATTTTATTATTAAAATTGTTAATTTAATAAATTTTTTAGATTAAATTATATTTTTAAGTTATTTATGAAAAGAAAACCTTTTAAACTCTTTTTAGTTATTTTCTTTGGAAATTTTAAAGAGTTTTTCTTTGACAAAATCGATTTTGCGATATTTTTCGTACTTCTCTCGAGTGTTCTATAAAAAAAAAAGTTTTTTCTTTGTAAAAACCATATTAACAATTACCTTCAACCAGGTGGGCGGGGTTACCTCGTGGGTGTGGCTTTTGTTAATAATTAAATGAAAAAGAAAATTTGTATAAATTAATATTTATATAAATTTAAACATTTTAACCATTTATATAAATTTAAATATACTTTTTGCAACCATTAAAAAATTAGGATTTAATAAATAATAAAATAATTAATAAACATTTGAATCATTTTAGAAATTACTTTAAGAAATGACTTTAAATGAATTATTATTAAATTGATAAATATATTAAAAACTACTTTAGAAAAAATTTTTCAGTGTATAAGAGCCTAAAAAAGAATTTTCTTCTGGATGCGTGCTCAGTACATAAGTACTGAAAAATGAATACACGTTAAACGAATACTAATTAGACGGACATACGTGGAAATCACGTTAGAAAATAATTTTTGCAAAAAAATACCGTCGAAATTTCCATTGAAAACACATAATCGATATAAAGAATTAACAGCAATATAAAAAATTTTCAAACACTCAATCTATCAAATATGTTTGAATATGAAATATGTTTAAAATCAATCGATAAATAAAACAATTCCACGTCAGCGAAAAGCACGTCGTTTTTTTTGTTATTGATCGACTAATGTGGACTATCGATTGATTTCTGGTTTTCATATAATTTTTATTTTTAATCATTTTTTATTTCGCAAATTTCCATTTTAATGTTTAATGTTTTGATTTTTTTCCGTTATTTAATGATAATTGTTTGTTTATTTTATTTTTTGTTTTTTTGCATTTTAAAATTTCCATTAATTTATTAATTATTTTTTAAATTTCACAAACATTTTGTATTTTTTTTCAAAAAATTTCTTTTTTAAAAAAATGGTAAAATTTTCGTTGTTTTTCCCTTTTCTTCAAATAAACACCACTCACCATTCCGTTTTTTCCATGATAATCGACTATTAGCACGAGAAATTTCAGTGAGAGAAAACCTGACATTAAAAGATCCTAAGGTAGCCTTCTGGTGACTTTCAAGTGATCTGCCTGCGCTCCTATCGCCAAGTGACTCCTCCGGCAAAATTTTTTGGTGTACTAGCAGCCAGCAGAGCGAGTCTGCTAGGAATTGGTGCGTGCTAATTACTTATTTACTCAAAGATGGAGTCAATAAAATTAAAATTAAAAATTATTTTTTAACAAATAAAATTGAACAAAACCTCTTTCTCATCTCTATAGGTGATAAGAATCCTCAATCTCGGGTTTACTAAAGGGCTGGGGGATTAAAGATTCTGCAGGGTAGCTTGGTTCTCTTGGACAAAGATCTCTCTTGTTGTTCCTGGAACCTATTGAAACTAATTTTCCAGTTTAGAAGTCGGTTCCTAGTGCAGCAACTATCACTGGTACTATTTTGATTTTCACTTTCTGCATCACTTCCTCCTTCAGCACTTCGTATTTTTCTAGCTTCTCATATTGCTTCTTTCTGACGTTCCTGTCGTTTTGCTGTATCTATCACCAGTTCTGGTTTCTGGTTCTTGTCTACTACCACGATATCTGGTTAATTGGCCGGTACCTATTTGTCTGCCTGGATGGAGAAGCTCCACAGGTTCCTCGCCTTATTATTCTCCACGGTTTTCTGATGAATCTCGCATCTTGTCTAAACCATTTAGATATTCCTCTAGATGATGCCAGCGGTTTGGTTTTTGCGTTTACGCTGTTCTGTCCTGTCTGCATCTTACATCCTGCCACTATATATCATTTCTGAGGCGTTTTGCACAGTCTGCACCCGGAGTCCTGTCTAGACTCCTGATCCAACGGATCTGCTACTTAGAACCTGTGACTGCCTCACTGCTGCCTTCTAGTCCGACTTTTTCCTAGCACTGCTAGGATTTCTCAATGTCAGCCACTCTAACTATTTGTCGTTGGTTAAATGTTTATATTTATTTATTTATAAATTTATTTATAAAAATCTTTTTATTTTGTATAAAAAATTTACAAAAAAGCAAATGAATAATTATTTTCGCTTCTTTTTGAAAAAAATCATGAAAAAAATAAAAGTTTTTCAAGGACATTTGCGATACAATCTGGAAATATCAACGAGAAATCTTTTTTTTTTAGCAGTCCGCGCTAAAAGGTCAAGTCAAACTCGTTTTTTTTCTTAAAAACCCGCATTTCAATCCATTTGTTAAATTTCGTCGCTTAACTCGCAATTATTTTCGCAAAAAATAACGAAATAATAGGATAGGAGAGTGTAATTAAGGAATTAATTGCATAGATGCAATGAAAAAAATTAAATAATTTAAAATTATTAAAATAATATAAATTAATAAAAGAAAAACATATAAAAAATTTTTATGATATTATAATTTATTTTAAAATTATAATAAAAATTTATATATATGTATATAAGTTATTTTTTATTAAAGTTTAAATTTTTTAATAAATAAAATAAAATATTAAAATAAAAATAATAAAATATAAGTAAAATAAAAAATTTAATAAAGTAAAAAATTTTTATTTTGAAGTAAAAATATTTATATTATTAAATATAAATATTATTATTAAATAATATGAAAATGCAAAAAAATTATTGACATTATTTATCACTTTTATTTATTAATTTTTTAATTTATTTTTCAATTAATTTCCTAATTTATTTTTTAATTAATTTTTCTCAATTTTCTTAAATTATTTTTTTATTAGTTTTCTAAATTTAAGTATCGTTAATAGTTTTGCAATGGATTTCGATAAAATAGTTTTCTATGAAAATTTTTAAAGTTCATTTTAAAAAAAATCAATGAACTTTGAGTTTTTACGAAATCTAATAAAGAATAATTTAAAATAAATCATTTAAAATATTTTTATAATAAAAATTTTAATAAAGGGATAGGTTAGCAGAGTGGATAACGGATTAGACTTTATCATTAAAAAAATCAGAATAGTGCTGGCGTTCTACTTGTAATTTTATCGATAACTGACTCCTTGGCGAAAATTTTTAGTCATACTAATAGTCAGTGGATCTAACCTAATTAAAAATGCTAACCATTTACAAAGATATGGCACAGTGGGTTATTGCTCAATTGGGAGCGCCTGTGCTGAGGTTCGATTCTCCGCGGGAGTAAACCTATATAAAAATCTGGGTGATGCTGGCAACTCACCTGTGTTTCTGCCGCCAAGGGATATTCTCCCTGGGCATATTCGTCCAATGTGACAAGCGAGTTCAACCAGTAATGGTGAGGACCCCTTAAAAAACATGTAGCAAGCAATAAACCAGTTATTTGTGCTGGTACCAATGCTTAATTGTGGTTGAAGAATTTTAGGTTTCGTTCATTTCTGATTTATGAGTGCATAACTCTCCGCAGTCAAAGCGACAATAATGCACTTTTCTCTTACAGTGCCAGCGGCAATCTCAATTTATAAAATTGCAAAAGTTAGAGCAAAAAAAGCAATAAAATTGCTAAAAATTGTGGAAAAATCCTTATAAAATTTTTTAATAAATAAATTTTAATAAATTTTTTTTATTTATGAAAATAACAAAAAAAAATAAAAAATATAATAAAAATAATAATAAAAAAATACTTACAAAACAGAAATAAGCGTTTTAACGAAAAAATTTTATTCGATTAAAATGACCTTCGAAAATAAAAATAAAAATATTTTGAGAAAATCTGATAAATTGAAAAAAAAATTTTTTTCAAACGAGAAAAAACTATTTCTTTTTTAGAAATTTTTGGAAAAAAAAAGATTTTTCCTTTATTTCTTTTTGAACTTTGAACTTTTATTTTTTTGAAGAAAATTTTTTTATTTGAAAAATTAAAATAAATAAAATAATAAATAAAATAAATATTATAGGGCATTGTTGCGAAATAAATTTTAATATATAAATTTTAAGTTTAGCAAAAGAAAATTATCGGAAAAAACGCACACATACATCGCCTATTTATTCCCTCTTTTGCTTCGCATTTAATGATTTTTATTTTTTTCTTAAATTTGAAATATTTCTTATTTTTAAATTTTTTCTTAAATTTTATTAAAAATCTTAAATTTTAATTTTTCTTAAAAATTTTTAATTTTTATTTCTTCCAAAAACAAAAAGAAATTTGGAATTTACGACGAAATATTTTTTGAATTAATAAATGATAAATGAATAGTTTTTTGCAATTTTAACTTAAAATTTTCTATTTTAAATTTAATTTAAATTTATTTAATTTAATTTGTTTTAAAACCCTCCGCTTTATTAGTCTTTTTGAATTTTTTATTATTTTTATTTTCTATTATTATCAACTATTTCAATAAGTTTCGCTTTTTCTTATAAATTTTTCTGCTTTATTAGTCTTTTTGAATTTTGCCAAACAAACGATTTGCCATAGCAAAGCTTTGAATCGCGCAAATGACACATTTTTCTGCCTTTTCCTCGTTCTGACAACTAAGTAAATGCTTAGCTTACTTTATTTTATTTTATTTTACTTGGTACGACAAATAATATGAAAAATGTAGAATTTGGACGCCAACCTGGATTTATCATATCAATAAATAAATATTTATCAATAAATATTTAACAAAATTAAACAATAAACAATAAATATCCATTGATATATGAGATATTCGTTTTCCACTTAAGAAAAATATTTATTCAGCGATTTAATTAATAAAATTATTTTTAAATTTTAGAATTTATAAAATTTTTTTTTAAATTTTTTCTTCTTATATAAATATTGAACAAAATTAAATTTTTAAACTATTTTTTCCTTTTTTTAACCAAAAAATTAAAAAATTTGAAAAAGGATTTTAAATTCAAATTAAAGATTATCTATTTATGTTTTAATTAGTTAATTAGTTCGAATATCACCTAAATTTTTATTTCATGAAAATGATAATTTCCATAATCATGGAAGTTGGGACTAATAAAAATAAGAATTTAAATGGTCCTGAAGAACCTCCATTTGAAATGTCGTGGCATCGGACCGAGCGGTTTGGAACATCTTATTCTTATAGCCAGCGGAATCAACCTAACCAGTAATGGTGAAAGGTGTTAGAAAAAGAAGAGAGGGGAAATATTGAAAAAAATCGCTTATAATTAATAATGGAAGAAAGAGCTAAACAAATATGTCCTTTGGTATTACCACAGGATTGAAGAACTACATAAATTATAGCAAATACTTAAATTAGTGGATCTTAACTCGGATGAGAAGCAATGTACCAGATTTGAGCCCCTTAGCCCATGAAACTACCACGTTTGCTTTCTTATACACCATATATTGCTAGCGATTTCCTATAATGGCGAAGAATTTCAGTGCTTATAATTCGTTACACTGGAAGGTATGATGTGACTGAGTTAGCAAAATATGGATTTCCCAATGAATCGTTCTTGGACTACTGGAGTTTTTAGTGTGTAATCAAAGGCTAAACACCTTTTTGAAGAGTGATAAAATCGAAAATGAACTTTAAGAGATTTAATCAATTTATCATCCTTCTTACAAAAACTTATGGTTATAAATTCATGCACTATTGCACTATTAATGCACTATTAATGCACTATTTAATGCACTATTAATCAAACTGCTTTTATTCAATCTTTTGGATGACTAAGACGATCTTTTAGAAAATATATTTTAAGTAATTGACGGAAACTGGCAGAGGAAAATAAGAAGTCCCACAGAATAAACTGTGGAGAGAACAATAATCGTTATGTACCAATGTAATAAATTAAGAAAAAAATCATTAAATCATTAACATTCTTTTCTGAACAAAATTACAAAATGAATTTCCATTTTTTTAAATTTTTCAAATTTCACCTCCAATTTTACAAAATGATCATTAAAAAAGATGGCAAATCATATAAGAAAAATAAGAAAATAGTTGAATGATAATTTTATTTTCCAATCCCTTTTCCCCCATTTTACAACTTTTTTCGGCATCTGATTTGGGGGATTTCCCAGTTTTATAAATGATCTTTATTGATAATTTTAATTAAAAATATTTTTTATAGTTTCCTTTTGCCATTATATTCTAAATTTCTGGATAAACAGCGAAATTTCTATTATATCATTAAATTTAATGATAAATTTAATGACAAAATATTAAAATGAAAAAAATCCTAACTAGCTAGAGATCAACTTATTTCATAAATGTTTTAAGCTTATTGTCGATAGCATTTAGAAAATCTTCTGTATAAAGATATTTGTCCGGTGTCGCATTCTTCGCACCATAAATACAAATTGCCAAATCTTTTGTCATTTTTCCCTCTTCTATGGTTGTTATACAAGCTTCTTCGACCTTATGAGCAAACCTGCAAAAGTATCCGAAAAATTATATAGCAATATTGAATTCCATTTAAATTCAAAAAAATCAGGAAAAAACAAAAGCAGAAAATTAAAATGAAAAACAAAAATATGGTATAATATACGTTTGCAATTCTTTATTGTTGTCAAGTTCTCCACGATGTTTTAACCCACGAGACCACGCAAAAATCGATGCAACTGGATTAGTTGAAGTACGATTACCCTGTAAAATCACTGATAAAAATGAAAAACAAAAATATTAAAATACAATAAATATCAACCTTTTGATGCTCTCTATAATGCCTGGTTACAGTTCCATGGGCTGCTTCAGCCTCAACTGTTTTTCCATCCGGACACATTAACACGGAAGTCATTAAACCGAGAGATCCAAATCCTAGAATAAATCAGATAAATCTTCAATATAGAATAGAGATTCGAAATCCGACAAAACCTAAAAATTTGAATTAAATTAAATTTGAAATTAATTTTAGAAATTAAGATATTTCAAAAATAGATTTTTAAATTTTGACAGGTGAATTTCTACCTTTAACTACTTATGAAATTTTGCATATTTTGAAATTAAACCTTGAGCGAGAATATCAGACTGAACATCACCATCGTAATTTTTACATGCCCAAACAAAACCTCCAGAACTCTTGAGAACCTAAATTTAATAAAATAAGCTAAACAAAATAAACCCGAATAAGCGCAGAATACAATGCATACAACTACCAACTACAACTTTATCACTTGCTAAATTAGAAAAATATCTTAAAAATGCAAATACATGAGAGATATTCTATGCTTCGAAACATTTTTGAAATATTATTAAGAAGGGATACAATTTTATAGTACCTGTGCAACCATATCGTCGATTAAACGATGCTCGTACCATGTATCCAGTTCCTTGAATTTCCCTGCATAATTCCTGAAAATTCAATGAAAAGCTGGAATGTAGCCAAATTTCACATTTGTCAGTTATGCAAAATTACATCAATTATGCAAAATTCAAAACCAACTAAAACGATGTTCAAACTTCATGAAATCCAAAAAACATGGCAACGTAAAATTGAAAAGTTCAAAAAATTATATTAAAAATGACAAATGACAAACTTTTCATAGATTTCCTGGAAAATATCCTTAAATCGACCGTCATAACGCTTCAAGATTGTGTTTTTGGTGCTTAAATAAAGCGGCCATTTTTTCATTATAGCATATTGAAAGCAAGAATGAGCAAAAGCAGCAATACTCTATAAACTACGAATTAAAGTAAAGTTATGAGAAAGTTAGAAGCCATAAATTTGTCTAAAAAAATAAATGTTTAAGGTATGGGAAAATTAATTATCCATAAATTAATTATCCATAAATTTGAAAATAAGGAAAGATTAGTAATCGCTATAACCTTTTTGAATTTTCTTATTTTAGTACCATTGTTTTTCACTGTTTCTAACATAAGCATTTAATTACAAGTTCTAATTTTAAAAAATATTTTACCTCATCAGTGTTATACATTCCCATAACGATACCACCGCTCTTATCAAAATCAAATACATCATGAAAAGTTTCGCTACCATCTTTATTCTTCTGATAAATCTTTAGAGAACTACCTTGAGGTACGACAACATCGGTCGCCTTATACTAAAATGAAATATATATTAAAATGCGTCAACTTTGAAATTTCGAAATTTTTGAAAAATTAGCAATTTTTTGCGAAAATAAACGAGCAAACCTGATCACCATGTGCATGACGTCCAATAACAATGGCTTGTTTCCAACCAGGTACAAGTCGTGGAATATTTTTACATATTATTGGTTCACGAAAAACGGTTCCACCAAGAATATTTCTTAATGTGCCGTTCGGACTTAACCACATTTTCTTTAGTTTAAATTCTTCCACTCTGTAAGAAAAAAAAAACTGTTTCGAATATAAAAATTGGATTCTCCAAGTTAAGCGACAAAATAGCGAAAATTATGCAATAATGGCGAAAATTCAAAGTGCCTTGTGATTTATAAATATATAAATTTCTAAATTATTTCCTTCAGCAAATTGTAAATTTACAACAATTTATACAAAGTTTGACAAATAATACTTAAGCGACAAAAAAGCGAAAATTATGCAATAATAGCGAAAATATCTAAAGTGCCTTATGATTAATAAATATATAAATTTTTAAATTATTTACTTCAGCAAATTGTAAATTTACAATATTTTTACAAAGTTTAACAAATAATTAATCACAATTCTACACTGAAATCTCATTCAAAACAAGAATAAAAAACCTTGCTTCATCAGGTGTTATAGTAGCACATTTAATTCCAACATTATATTTTTTAATCGCTTCAGCTGCTTCAACTGTTATCATATCATTTGTCTTATCACGAAATGGCAAGCCAAGATCGAAATATTTTATATCAATTTCGAGGTATGGAAGAATTAACTGTAAATTTTTTTTCTTATGAAAATATAATTCTTAAAATTATTTAAAATTATTTTACTTAAACAAAAAATAAAAAACAAATTACAACTATAATTTAGCTAAGGTCGGTTGCAATTAATTAGTGCTTCTGATTTGTTACAACTTGCTCATTTCAAAAAAAAAAAAAACTACCTGACTTTCACATAATGCACATAATGCTTATCATACGTGAATATCAATCATCTACTAGGCATCCGTATTAAGCACGTCTGCCACAAACACCTATCACGTTTACCTACCGCGCATGTCACCATCTACCTATGCCGATCACGTTTGCCTTACCATGAAACATGTCACGCGTGAACACCAATCATCTACTAGGTAACCGTATTAAGCACGTCTACCACCAAATACCTATCACGTTTACTTACCTACCGCGCACATATCTGCCAATCGCGCTTTCCGCGACATACCTCGAATATCTGCGGAAATAAATCAACCTTATTTTTAATTTCCTTCCATATAATTCGCGTCATTTCATCGCCATCCAAATCCACAATTGGATTTTTCACTTTTATTTTTTTATTCGTCGCATAAAAACATTTTTGCGATAAATTTATTTGTTTTGAAATTGAACGAAATAATTGAAAAAACTGCATTCGTTACTAAAATTTAAATGAATTTTTATAAAAAAAAAAGTGTAAATAAAATTATTATTAACGATTATTATTATTATTGATTATTAATGATTTATTAAAATATTTTATAAAAGAAATTATAAATGAAATATTACAACGATTCAATTAAATTAAAAAATATGTAAAAAAATTTATGTCATACAAGTAAATTCTTAAAAAACGTGGCAATTTTTAAAAATTTAACAATAATAATAATAAAATAATAATAATAATAATAATAATAATAATAATAATAATAATGAAATTCGATACGTAATTTCTCTCTCATTACTTAAATTTTAATAAATTCCTTAAGAATTACGTATTTCATATATTTTATTTTTTTAAATACGTGAAAAAATAAAAAAAATCGGAAAAAAATAATAATAAAAATGACGTCACAGATTGAATATAACCGAAAAAATTTTAATTTTTATTAGAAAATTTTAGAAAACTTTAATATTAATATTTATTTTTAGGTCGAAAATATACAATAAAATATGCCGAATAAAAAACAAATAGAAAAAACAGCTATCAACGTCATTATTATATTATAAGTTGAACACAAGCGCAATGCACGATGATTAAGTGGATGGAGGTTCAGACTGTCGTGTTGAGAGTTAGGGGTTCGGATCCAACTGAATCTTCGAATTCACCGCCGTAGGCAAATTTATCGTCACTAAAATCCGGCTGGTGCCACCTTTCATCTTCACAGTCAACGCGTTGGTGATAAAAATTCCTAATCACTAATCGAAATAACGGTCAGCCAAGGCAAACCAGAAAAATAATGAGCTATTTCATAAAAAAATAAGCCAATAATAATAATTTATAAATTGTGTTGTCTCGGCGCAAGTGGTATAAACACCAATTTTTGTCCACCAGTCCACAGATATTTGAGTAAATTTGGTGAAGTCTGGACAGTCCGGGAAGTGCTTTATGTTCTCGGGCAATTCCCTTTGTCACCAGTCAACGGAACCGGATGGATTATTGAAAAGAAGAAAGGATAAATAAGGGGAAAGAGGAGGAGAAATATTCCTCACAGTTTTTATGCTGATGAGACGACGATTAAGTACAACCATTTGGGAATACGTCTGGAGAATACATTAAAATAAATATGACGATATTTGTGATAACGAACTGATAAAAAGGGCAGAATGACTGAGCTGTTTTAACCGAAGTTCGAGCATCACGTTGACATTTCTGACGAGAGTGCTGGGATTACACGTGAAGCCAGGACGATGCAAAGATAATGCAGTAGGGGATAAAATGTCTCAATGGGTTGTCGCTCTCGTGGAACGCCGATTTTGTGGTTCCACTTACTGGTAAAACTAAACCTGTTACATAAAAACCATGGCGATAAATCTCCTTGACAGAATCCGCCTGGTTTGACGAACCAGCAAAGTGAGTCTAACTCAGAAATGGAGCACTGTAAGAGGATGATGAGACTGGAAACTTAGTGAATGTGTCCGCGATTTATCATTTCGCGGACGCTAAATTACTAATATATTTTGCCGATTTCATTCTTTAAGATTCTATTGAAAAGCCATTTTGTTCAATTCGTGGAACTGAGAAACTTTCGTAACTCTTAATTAATATAATAATTAATATAATAATAATAATAATAAAAAATACAATATTAATATAATTAATAATAATGTGATTAATAATATTTAATAATAAATAATAATTAATAAATTAATAAATAAATTAATAATAAATAAATTAATAATAAAATAATAATAAAAGGCAAATTTAATGAAATATCTTTTATACAAATAACAGAATCGCCGAGATTCGGAGGGGGAAGGAGGTACGGGGAAGGAGTGAGGGAGAAGTGTGGAAGGTATAATAGGAAGGGATATCCGTACAGTACAATTGCTGTTGCACTTGCGAAAAGGATAATTAGAATCATCCGACGAGTATGGAAGCGTGGTTTCAAGACATGTGAAAAGGTGACCATGGTTCGAAAGGAAGTGGAGAGATCTCACCTATCCACAGGAATGGCATTTTTACTCGCTATATTCAGTCCGCTTCCTACCTTAGCCCAATTACTTAGCTCATCAACCATCGCCACTGGCAATGCAGTGGTGATATTAAATTAATGGTATAGCGAAAATCGAGAAGTGTTAAAAAATGAACAGCGAAAGTTTATTAAAAAGAAATAAGCTGCCCTCTAAAAGTGATAAGAAAATATAATGGGATTTTAAGAGATAATCCACTTTTTTCAACGATTATAGTGATAATTTCTTCATTGTCATTTTCTTTCCTTCTGACGTCATGAGCTTATACGAAGTTAATTAATAATTTCAAATAGTTTATCATTTTAAAAACTGATAAACTCAAATGTTTTTGTGCAAAATTTAAAAAATCACACAATTATAAGGAATCAAAAAAGATATTAGACCATATACTGATAACTGATAATGCAATTACAACTTTTTTTATTACAGCTTTTTGTTGATAAACACAAGTTAAAATATTCGTATTCGAATTCCAATTCGGACATTCTGCAGCAGCATTCTTCGTTTGGTGAAAGGTTTTTGGAATCGCCCTGAAATTAACTTTAAACGGAAGTCTGCATCTATCCTATCCGAATATGCACACTGCATATTAAAATAACCATCTATTCTTCACCATTTCTGCATTTCACATAAGGATCGGATCGCCAAGCGAGCAGAATATCCTCCGATTTGCTCGAATACCATATACCATGCGCATTAGTGGTGACTAGCTGTTAAGCTTAGCTTATTGCTTACACTGGTTAGGACTTTCACAGGATTTGATGCAAGATTCGCTAAACATTGAGCCTTATGATGGATGACATGAAAAGCAGAGATCAAGCCAAGACCTGAACTGACTATTTTTAAATAAAGAATACCTAGCGGTTTAGGCCTCGCAAGAAGATGGTGGTTTATCTGATTTTCAGATTTTACACCAAAATCAGTGATTGTGATTTATGTAGCCAATTTACCGGGTAATATTAGTGCAAAGGGGAATTGTCTGAAGGAGAATTCGTTCTGTTTAAAAGAAACTATCATAATTCGTCCAAACAATTTGCAGAAAATTTTTTTAAAAAATTAATTTAAAAAATTGTCCATAAGAATAATCACCACGAATAATAGGATGCAAAAATGATCATTCATTTATATTCAAGAGGTACCTATTGTTCAAGTTCAAGTTCAGACAAAGGTTACCAAACCTTCATTGCTCTGCCTTTATACGTTCCACAGTTTTAGGTGCACTGAGAAAACAGAACGAGGCTTGAGTGTGGAGCTCAAGTCAGTACACATTGTAAAACCGTAGCAGGAGAAGAGGAAAAAGACTCGGTTTGATTTTCGAAAGCAATAAAGTATTTTAGCCTATGGAACCCCACTTTTTTAAAGCCCAGTAAATGTTCCAAGCATTGTTTTTCGATATATTCGTTGAATCTTTAGCAAAAGAACAGATCGAATCATTTTTGGTGCAATTCTGGTTTCCACACATCTGTTTTATCTCTTTTTGAGATCTTCAAGTGTCAACCAAACTCTGTTATCTTATTCGCGGAAATTTAAGGCAATTACGGCAATCGCTTCGCATTTTGCGTGAGGAAGGCTGTTAACTAAATAATCCTCAATTTGGCCACAATTCATTACACGCTTTCATGTTCTCTAAAATCCTATTGTATGCCTTTAATAGTTTATCCCTTCTTATAAGCGTGGTTCTTTAGCATTTTCCTCAGCCTACACCAACTCGATTTTAGAGTGTCCTTGCACCGCAGATGATCCGTAGGAGCCATTTTACTGATACTACTTTAAATTTTATTTTAAATTTTATTATTTTTAAAATTTTATTAATTTTAAAAATTTAAAATTTAAATTTTAAATTTAAATTTTATTACAATCGTAAATAGCTATTGATGATGCAAATAAAATGATATTAAATATTAATAGCAAAATATTAAATATTATTTTAAAAAAAATGATTTTCTCAGCAGAAATTTTAGCTTTTTTTTTACAAAACCGAATGAGATTTTAATTTTTCAATAATTTACAAAATTAAGAAAATTCGTAGAAAATGAAATAATTTCATTTTGAATCTTATAATCCACTTTGCAAATAAATTTTATAGCAAAAAATAAACAAATAAATATTTTCAAATAGTTTTCGAAATGTTGGAATAAACTTTATTATAATAAATTTTTAATATATTTCTTCGCTTTGATAAGCAAAAAACCCCCATTATTTGGCTATTTTTCGCGTGAATAGCATCGCTACGATGGGTCGCTTTTAAGTCTTTTGGGCCGATACCCCACCTGAAATTAATTGGAACCATTCCTCCGCTACTTATGTCCACTGGACTTCTTCCACATTGTCGTCCCGGTCCAAATCTTGATTGGGCATTCGCTCTTATGATGCCATTCACCAAAAGATTTGCGAACACCTTGTGGTTTATTCCATTTAACGTTAAAGTAATATTATTATATTATTTTATATAATGTGGTATTTTGCATTGCGTAGCGGAGCTATATTCAGCCTATTTAATATTATACCTGAAATGCAATTGAAGTCATAACGATAGTAATTACAACAAATGAGAGACAATAGATCGCGGGAATTTGTCAGATTAAGGCGATTTACGGTTATATTTATTATTTTTGGCCTATAAAATTATTAAATGAAATAAATATGCAAAAGAGTGAATAATATAAAACGTTAAATAAATATCGATAGTGTTTAAAAACGTGGACATTACACGAATAAAGTTTTTTGCCTTTTACCTTAATTTTCATGTCATTTTGTATGTTCACCTCTATTTCCCCTCCAGCTAGAAACATTCAGGATTGAAGTTTAAATTACCGTTTTCTAGTATTACAGCAAGTAAAAAAAGGAAATGTACTTTGTCTAGCTTAGTTCCACAGGCTATACGAAAATTTTGCTAAGGAATCACTTTGTAATAAAAGCACAAGTTGATCCCGCGTTTCTAACCGGGAATAACAAGTTACTCCTAGTGGAGATAAGATCCAAGCCGTCATACTCGAGAAGAGCAATAAGCACTCTGCTATCGGCCAACAAATAAGGAAATACTGAATTTGCTCTACGTAAAAAAGAACTGCTTCGGGTGATCCTGGCCACTCACCTGTATTTCCATCGCCAAGGGACTCCCTGGCATATTACTCAATGCGACAAGCGAGTGGAGCGAGTTTAACCAGTAACGGTGAGGACTCTTTAAAAAAAAAGAACTGTTCATTTGATATTTTTAAAATTTTCTTTGCTTTTTTTTCTAATTTTTCTAATTTTTCAATCATTTGAAATTTACATTTGTCAAGCAATTAAATAATTTTGTAGTAAACGTTTATTTTGTCAATAAAATCGTTAAAAATTGTGAGAAAACATGTTTTTGTTGTTTATATTATTATTGTTGTTGTTGTTGCCGCTGGCAATGATGGCTGAAGAGAATATTATTATAGTTAAATTGTCTGTTAGCTGATGATCGATCGAGTAACTTTTAACGAAGATGGCCTTCCTTTCTTCATTTGCCTATTTTAACATAAATTTTCCCAATTTTCATTAATTTACTCATTCAATTTACCTAAAAACCTAAAATGTAAAAAAAAAATTTATATTTGAAGTAAATTTTTTAAATAAAGAAAGTTGAATTTTCGTAAAAAAATTACTTTTTAAATGTTATATATAATTTGAAAAAATTAAATTAAAATATAAAATTCGAATTATTAAAAATATTTTCGAAGAGCTGAGTATGCAACATTTCTGGTTTGGTTGTCTTTATTGTCTCACCGCTACGGCGAGAAAATTTCGCTATAGAGTTAGTCAGTTGAAGATAAAGGTAAAGATGGATGGATGGGTGGATGGATGGATGGGTGGACAATCGGGACAACTTTTAATTAATGGTTTATTGCTATCGTAAGAGCCGAAACTATTTGTCATAGTCAAAGCAAAACCATTCGACCACAATTTTTAGTTGCCTTTCATTCGTATTTTAGAAAAATTTTAGAATTTTTATAAATTTAAATTTTAATAATTATTATAAAATAAAAAAGTTTTCAAAAATTTGTTTTTTTTTTCTAATTAATAACTAATTGAATCATTCAACGAATTTATAAAGTATATATCTTTATAAAGTTGCTTATTGATAATCTTATCACTGATAACATTGGCAATTTAAAATTTAACAAAATATTTTACTATATCGACTCGATAAATATCGTTAAATATTTGGTAAAATTTGATCGAATTTTCTAAATAATCGAGAATTATCGACAAGCGCCCATATTGAAAATTTTATATAGAACTCATCAAGATATCGGATTTCATGTGAGCTATTTAATTTTGTCTTTGTATTTCCGATCTCCTATTCATATTTGACAATATTCGTTATTGACCTAGTATCTTATCCTTTCTCTCTATTTCAGCCATTAGTAATGCCCTCCTCCATGAGACTTAGGCAATCCGGAAAATCCTCTTTTATTATTTCTCATATTCCTGTTTTGTCGTTTACTTTTTTTATTCTTATCTTTATTAAATTGATTTGATTATCATTTAAAGGACTGATCGTTATTGATTTTGAGTTATTTCTAAATTCTGGTATAATTAGATCAAATGTTTTGGATCTCGAAAATACAATAATAAATATCGCAAATTTTGATTTTTTTTTTGGAAATATTTGGAAAAAATTTTCCAAGGCTATTTGAATTGAATCTCTGAAAATTTTCCTAAGTTATGGTAAAACTTTTTCATACGAAAATTATTGACTAACCTTTTTTTGCTAAAAGCGCTTTATCATTCCTGGTTGAGCACTTTTGTTCCATCAGCCTGAGGGGATAAGCAAATTTTACAAGGGAGACGGTAGAAATACTGAAATACTCTAGCCTTATCTAAAATGGCAGGCATTGGAACCACAACATCATCGCTCCACGGTGGAGGCAATAAACCACTAAGCTATTCTATCCCCAAATGGATCCTAAGGTATGATATTCATTATTTAATTTATATAATTTAATTTTTTTATTTGTTATTATTTTATAAATTTATTATTTATATTTTATAGCTTTTTTACTGTCATTAATCATCGAATATATAATCTATTGTTAAATTTTAAATTAATTTGAACAACTAATAATTTTTATCAAATTTTCAGCTAATGATTTATTATTTGATATGATAATGAGCCATTTAGACATTAGAATTATTTTGATATATTTATTTTTAATAATATACAGCGAAAACAAAGGGCAACGATTTTCATTGATCAAATACCATAAAATTATCGCCGTCAGTTGAAAAATAAAATTTTGGTAATGATCAATTACTCTAATATTACCTTAACTTGATTTTTGATTTTTTCACCTGATTAGCTGATTATTTGTTATAATTTTAAATGATTCCTTAATCAAGCTTTTGAAACTACTTAGAATCTATATTTTGACCTAATCGGATTGATTAATTTAGATTAATCTGATAATTCCTTCATTTCGCTTATCGAAAAGTCCTATCAATATATCATTTATCATTTACCACTGCTTTTCTACTGTACAATTTAATAATAATGGTAACGATTTTCCCTTTTTTCATATTTCGTCTCTCTCCTGTTTTGGTTTCTTCAATTTCGTTCAATAATGCTCTTTATTATTTCTTAATTTGAGTTTAAAAATAAAAAATCTTCTTCTACAGTCGATTTCTGATCCGTAATGCTTCATATTTAATATTTTAGTTAGATAGGTATTTATATATTATTTTATAATCATGTAACTAGTTATTTTATCCTTTTCGAGAGAATTTCAATCGAACCAAAGTCAAACTCGAATTTTTAATCGAATAATCCAGTTTTGATTAAAATCTTATCCTGTTAATTCTAATTGCTTAGAAATAATTCTATCAAAATTTTCAAAATCTTAAAAAAATTTATTTTTAAATTTAATCTAAATATTTATTAATTTATTTTCGTATACAATATTATTTAATTTTTTATTGCTATTAAACATTAAATACAATAAATAATATTAATAATATTAATATTTAATATTAAATAAATAAATATATCATGTAAATTTAAAAAAAAAAGAAATGGAATTTCGATTTGATTTTAGAAAAATATTTTTCGCCTTAAAAATAAAATTATCAGCAAAATTAATACTTCCTGGTTGTACTGGAAATGCTTCGTTTCGCTTCCAAGGTGACTGAAAAGTAATCGAAAAAAAATCTCATCCTTTAGAATGAATGAAAGAAATTATAAGTGGTGGGTGCTGTGACAAGAACAAATGTATTTGCTTAGAAAGACGATTGTTTATTTAATTTATTTATTTTTATTTTAAATATTTTCAAAATAAAAAATTAGTCGAATTATTAAATTAACTGAATTATTTTTATTTTTAAATTATTAAAATTAAAATTAAGATCGTTACAAATTATTCAAAAGGAAATTTTTCGCAATTATCGAGCAGTGAAGATAGTGGAATTGCTAGCGTTATTAATAATACAAATGAAAATATTTTTTCAAAGGTTTCTTTTTTTTAATTTCAAAAATTTAAATTTTTTAATTTTAATTTTTTAATTTTAATTTAAAGTTTCAATTTATTTTAAATGTTTATCCATTTCCTTTGAATTTTTGAATTTGAATTTGAAAAATTTGAATTTTTTTTCAAAAATCCGAAATTTTCTATAAATGTGAAAGATGTGAAATATTAATTTCTTTTATTGAAATAATTATTCTTAAAAATTTGGATTTTTGCAAAATTTAAAGAATACTTATTTGAATACTTTTCGGCTAATCACTCATTTATTTCAATAATTATATTTGCATTTCGCTATAATTGTAAAATGAGAAAAGAATGAACAATAATTTAAATCACAGTGTGAAGAGGCAAAAGTTCAGCCTCTGCCTGTCTTAAGAAATCCTGGTGGTGTTAATGGTCCCGTCTGCATCCTGTGGTTCTGTGATGAGGTGAACTCTGGAAAAAACTATCTATCTTAACACCTAACTGAATGGTCACAATCAATAATAATATTTTATAATAATAATGTTTTAATCACTTATTTTTCGTCAGTTTACTTATAAAATTTTTTTTCCTGTTTTTTTTGAATAATTTATTTTGAAAAATTATTTTTTTCAATTAATTTTTTATAGAAAATGATTTCAGGAAAATGAAAAAATTGAAGAAAGCCTAGTGATTCCTGCAGGTTAAATATTTTTGCAAAAAACAAAATTGGTAAAATGAAAGAAAAAAATTTGGAAAATATGAAAATAATTTCTATTATTTATATTTCAATAAATTTAATGCATAAAATTAATTTTGCTAAATTAAATTGCTAAAATTAAATTTTTCGATAAACAATTGCAGAATTGCAGATAAAATTTTATCGAATAAATCATCAACATCTTTGTTATCAGTGAATCATCCATTTTGTCGTATTTGTCATTTAATTGATAATGCACCTTGTAATCCAATGATAACGCCGTGTCGATGTTCGGGAACCATGCAATTCGTTCATATTGCATGCCTTGTTGTATGTTTTCTAAACAACTTTTTTCGGTTAAAATTTAATTTCTTTTTTCTTTAAATTTAGAAAAATTAAATTAAAATATTACAGCATTGGTTGGAATTATCGTCACGAAATATGTCTTCGAAACCATTTTGTGAACTTTGCGGTTATTATTACAAACGTCATTCATTTTTTAATGTTTGTTTTTCTTTTTTTTTTTGCATAAAAATTTTTTTCTTAAAATTTATTCAATTTAATTCTTTACGAATTTCATAAATAATGAATTCGCCTGCAAATATATTTTAGACGAACAATATTGAATCGTTAGTTTTTATAAAAATTTGTTATTATAGCGAGTTTTTCACAATTTGGAAAAAATAGAATTCACCTTCATTGATGAGTTTCAAGTAGGTTTATTCTCATTCGAGAAGAGGAAATAACTAAAAGCCGTGTACTGAAACTCATCACCGTTCATAGGAACCATAGTATTCGAATTTTGCACCCGACCGACGAAACTTCATTGATATAGTACCATTCAATATTTATTAAAAAAGGATAACAAGCAAATAAATAAGTCGATGAGCTTCTGTTTTGATAAAAAAGAGACGTTTTTTTGATTCATTCCGCCATTTTTCAAATTTTAAAATCAAATGGTGCATAAATAAACAAAAATTGTCAAAATTGAATTAACATTCTGTCAAATGCCGTTAAAATTTTGCCAAAATTGAGTAAATTTTAATATTTTTTATTAATATTAATTAATAATTTTAATATTTAATATTTTAATATATTAAAAAAAATATTTTTTTATAATTTTTAGATAAAAGAAACACATTTTCCGCGTATAAATAATTGCGATATTATATTCAATATTATATTTTTATTTGTAATAATTATTATGGTTATTTGTGTTTTTGTATGCGTTCATTTTATGGTTGTTAATGAATATAATCGTTCTTTAAGGTTTTTTTCATCTTTTTCAATTTTAGAACTTTTTTAAAAATTGAATAAATTTTTGAAATTTTAAAATTCTTGCAAGTACAATTTTTATCTTTTTATATTTTCAATTTAATTTAATTTTAATAATTTAATTTAATTCAATTTAATTTTAATTTTAATAATAAATAAAGTTGGTTAATATTTTTATTAAAAATTTAAATGTAAAAATTTAATATTTAATATTTTTAATCGTCTTTTTTTAAAATTAGCACTCATCATTTAAAGTTCAGTCAGCATTTTCAGCCATCAAGAAGAGTCTCTCTTCGCTAAAGAGTTGCTGCAGGAGAAATTCTGGAAGTCCCATATAACCGCTCAGATTAAATTTCGCTTTAGGCGAATAAATCCAAAAATAATTTTATGAAAAAAAAAAATTGCTACAAATAACAAAAGTTGAAATTGAAAGATTTAGGCCATATCGATCACATACAATGACAAACGAGGATTTTACGATAATAACTTGTTCAGCAGTTTTTTTCGCTGCATTTTTCATCGCAGTTTTTACTCAATATAAAGCTGAAATATCCGTTTCTTTTTATATTATTTTTCATAAATTTATTCATTTATTTCAATGGAAAATTTTCGATTTTCCAAAATTTTTAAGCCAAATTCAAAGCACTGAATCGAATTGAGAATTTCCTTACCGTATTTTTCTTATCCATCGCTCCACAATTAAAATATTTATGAATTTTCAGTTTATTGGTTTGATCTCGCGATTTTGGCAAATCAATCGAAATTGGCAAATAAAAAATTATCAAATAAATCAAGATTTGGATGGATTAAAAGAAAAGTCTAAATCATCGCTTCTTTGCAATGCATCGACAACTGAACAATGCGTTATATTTCAGTGAAAATATCTCTTTATTGTCGCATATAATCGTGGCCAACGTAGACGTTTTATTAAATTACGCATCAAAATTAAGCTTATAAATAAAGAATAAAGCTGGAATTTGAAAATTTAAAAAATTTATATTACCAGAAATATTATCATTTTATCATTGATATGAATATGTGTACATCAGATTAATGCGTTCATGTAAAATGAAGCGCAACATTAAACGCTCGTAAAATCACTGTCGCGGGAAATCGCGGCATGAGCGATAATTGATATTTCGAAGGGAAATTCTGCTTGGATATTTCATGAAAATATGGGTTTACGATGAGTGCTTACCGACGAATTGTTTAGACTTTGTTAGACAAAAAGTTTTCTGATAAAAATTTTAAGAAAGAAATTAATGAGCCATAGGAGACGACGTATTTCTCATTTCCTAAATTTTGCTCTTCTTTTTCTGTAAATAAATCTATTTAATGATAAATGTGCAAGTCATTATTTGTCTTATTTCTACAATATATATTTAACATAGGAAAGTGGAATGGCTCAGTGGGTTGTTGCTCAATTCGGAACTCCGATGGTGAGGTTCTACTCCCCGAAGGCGTAAACCTGTCCAAAAAACCTGTCCACTCATCTTTATTCCTATCGCCGAGGGACTCCTTGATTATTTGTCTACTGTGATACGCCAGCGGAGCGGATCAGCAAAGCGGAGGGCTCTTAAAATACAAAATCCTACTTAAGAAAACAGTAATATTTAATATACAATAGAAAAATGCGTCATTTCTATTCTATTCTATCTGTTTCACAAAATCTGTAAAAAAGATTTACAGTCATTTCCAAACCTTGAGCGCAACTCCAAGGCCATCTTTATAGCGAAAAGAAAAGAGAATGAAAATTTCCTCCTCCTTCTCCCCCCCCCCCCACTAAGAGAAAGAAGGGAAAGGAGAGAACGTCCTTCATAAGGCTTGAACCATAAAATCGTCTCCCTCCTCCAAACTCCTTAATTCTCTTCTTCATTCTATTTGAACGAATCAAGAATTTCGTAATGGTATTTGAATTATTCGTTGATTTATTCCATTAAATTTTAAAATTTTTTAAAAAATCATCAAATATGCGTAAAAAATTCAATATTTTCTACAGTAATATTATGAAAATTTTTCAATAAATTATAATATTAATGATGAAATATTTTTGTAATAATTTAAAAAAAAAAAACAAAATTTTATGCAAATCGCTGTAAAACGAAATAAAAATAATTTTAGAATAGAATTAGACCGTCGTAAAAGTTTTTACGATGGAAAAAGTGGAATTCCCATTGAAAAGCGCTAATGTTTACGTTTTTGTCGTCTTTTATGATAGATTATAAAAATTCACATTTTTCATGAATTTTTATTATAAAATTTTCCAGAATTATTTTGCGTCCAAAAAAACAATAATAGCATTCAGTATAAATATTCCTCATTTCGAGCCAAGTTTTAGCCAATTTCACATGTTTTTGGTTTATTTCTGATTATTTAATTCGAATTTATAAAGTATAATGCACTCTTTCACTTTTAAAATATAAAGATAAAAACAAAAATAAAATAAAAATAAAAACCAAAAAAATATAATTCAGCAACAAACTGAAAATTCTTTATTATATTAAACCATTTAAATTAATTATTATTAATTAATTTAATCATTATTAATTGGCTAATTTATTAAATTTTAAAAAAATTAAAGCGTAAAAAGAGTGAAAAAAAATTCGAAAAAATTCTCAAATACTTATTTTAAAGCAAAATTATTATTATCGTTATCATTATCATTATCCATATTATTAAGTGAGACGATTTTTCGTAATGTTTTGCAATTATTTGACGATTTTATCTTTATTGGAATCTGCTTGTTTTCATCGATAGAAATATCACTTTCTGATCGCTCCAATTTAATGGGAATAGCCAAGAGAAGAAACTGAAAAATACTATCCTACTCATTATTTCGTTTCATTTCTGCAAATATTCTATGAATGGTACCTTAGAATGTGGATTCGATCGAACATCGCTATTACTCCATCTTCGTTTAGCAATCATTAAACCTTTCGCTATATATTTGGAAATAATTAGTAAAAGTAGTATAATTAGTATGCAAAGAACGATCTTTATTAAATTAGCTAACGAAATAAATTCGCTAACTAATGTATCCGCATTATCTGCAATATTTCTAATGTTAAAAAAATTATAAAAAATAAATAAAAAAATAAAAAATAAAATAAAATTTATAAATAAAAAAATAAAAAATGCCGTAACCATATATGCAAAATCGTTATGATGCGATCTTTATTTTAAGCTTATGAAACCTTTTTCCAGTATTGTATCTTCAAGCAATCAGCTAAAAGCAACAACCACTACTCTACAAGTACCATAAATATTTGATAAATATCTAAAGCATATTATCTGTAAAATAGTTTGCTACATTAATTCGTCCTTTCCAATAGCTAAGCTCTATTTAAATTACAAAAACTCGGTTTCAACTGTGCTCACCTTAAAACTTTTATGAAACGTTTTGTTCTCTAAAAAATCTTTCTTATTTTTACGATATATTTTTGTTAATGAATTTTCAATAAAGTTTGAAAATTCTAAAAAAAAACTTTATGAAAAATAAAAAATTACCCGTAATTTCATTTGAAAAATTGCCAAAGAGATGTTCGAAACGAGTTCCAATTTTATCAGCTGTTTCAGTAATAGATTTAAAAAATTTCGTTCCAAACGACTGAATCATTTACTCATTTTAAAATATCTTTTGATTTTTTAATAAAAATTACTTAAAAAATACCTGAAAATGTGATAAATTTAGAAATCATAGCGAATTTTAAAGTTAAATAAATAATTTATTAGAAAAAAAAATTAAAAAAATTCAATATGCAATATGCAAAAAAAAATTGAAAAAATTTTACAAAATTTTCGAATTTTTAATTTTTAAAGTAAATTGAATTTTTAAAATAATTTTAAACTTAATAAATAAATTTCGAAATTCAAATTAAATGCAGTAAAAATTAAAATTTGATAGATAAAATTTTTTTTTTTGAATTCAATCAATTCAATAATAGATTTATAAAAAAAATATTTATGAAATGATAATTATAAAGTTTTTATAAAAAAAAAATAATACATAAAACAAAAAAATATTTGTAAATAAAGCAATAAAAAGAAATATTTAAAATTTATAAATTTTTAAAGTAAATTTTCAAAGTTCTTAAGGTTTTTCCAAAAAGGAAATTCATACAAAAATAATCGACTCGCAGTGAAAGATTGACATAAATTAAGAAACATTTCATTGAAGAAACAAATAATGCAAGCAAAATTCGATGTGACAGCTGAAATTCTTCCAATATTCTGGAAAAATAATAAATATTTTGAAAACAGCAACAACAATTTCAATCGTTCATTTATTTAGCTAAAATTCAATAAGAAAATTTTTTATCAGTTCTACATTGCTGATTTGATTAGATCCACTGGCTGTTCGTTTGAGGCAGGTGGAGGTGGAGATAGCGCAGATCGGTTTCCAGAATCACCAAGTTTCCTTCTGAATATGCATAGCTACCAGATTATGGACAACAAGATGCGAGTCCTGCTTCACTCAACAGTGAATTCGTTAAAAAATTCCTATTAGCGCTAGAGATCCGCTTGGAAGACTGGATAGCCGTTAGATTTCCATCGCCACGCTGAAACTGACAGTCTTGTGGATCATATTGTGGTTCGAGCCAAGATACAAAGCTCACTATCCCTTACGATCTTTCAAGCATCTCAAGTTAAAAGATTGGCCAAAATTTCTCTTCTACCAGCCAATGCTGCGAGCCGAAATTTAAATATAATTTTAAAAATATAAAATATAAAAAAATATAAAATGATAAATATAAGTATAAAAAATAAAAAAATATAAATATAAATAAAAATATAAATCGAGAAAAACAATTTGAAAAATTGATAAACCATCATTTATAAATTCGAATTATTGTAAACTGACTTAAAAGCCGAGAATTTAAAATAAAAAAAATATTTTTTAAAAAATTCACAAAAGTTTATTTAAAAGTAACAATAAAAAAGAATGAGACTAGAATTTTAACGATTATAAAATCGACGAATTAACAAAAAATCTATTGAAAACAAGTTCTTTCCTATTATTTATTTATTATTATTGTTAATAATAATAATAATTATTATTATTATTAATATTATTGTTATTTATTATTATTATTACTATTATTGTTATTATTACTATTATTATTACCCATATTGTTATAATTACTGTTATCATTATTATTATCACTATTGATCGAAAATATTATAGTTATTATATGTTAGATGAGACAGAAAAAATGGATATTTTTTAATAAAAAATTTTTCATGAATTCAATAACGATAACTAACTGTATAACGAATAATTCATCAATTTCAAGGTCATTTCTATAAAATTCCTTTTAATTACATTTCCCTTCCTTTTATACATACTAAATTATTAAACCAAAAACTTTTTATTTAAAAAAAAACCCCATTTTTACAAAATAAAACGAAAATATGTGTGCCTGCAAGTGCACGTATGTATGTGTACGATATATGTGTGTACGTCGAGAATTCTATGGAACTGAAGATAACTCTATTTGCCCGCGGGAAAGGAAAGGGAAAGCAATTTTATTTCTAATTGTATTTATAAATTGCTATCGGTTGAAGTTTTTTTATGTGAATTTTTCATTAAATTAATCCAGTTTTTGTCAAAAAAATTTAAAAAATTGTGATTTTTAATAAAAATCAAAAGTAAAAATAAAATTATATGAAAAAAAATGAATTGTTGAATTAAATTCGGTTAATGAATGATTAAATTTTTATGGTTTTTTCTTTTCCATAATTTAAATGAGAAAAAATATTGCACAAATTTTTTGGCAGAAACTATAAAAATCATTTAAAAAATTTGATCATGTTTGATAATGTTTATCATTTCAAATTTGGCTGACCTGGTTCCGCTTATCAGCTTTCCCAGTATCAT